CGCGGCACTCTGTGCCGCCGCCCGCACCCGACCGCCCGCTGTTTCCGCCGCCTCGACGATCTTTTTCGTCGTCGCTTTGGCCCGGCCCCGGACCTCCCTGACTGGCACAGCCTACTCCGCCAGGGCGTGCCGATCTTTGAGTTAGACATGGATCAGATAGGTGCTGCTTTGCATGCTTTGTATGCTGACGCTTCTAGTGTTGCTGTATCTTACTACCCTGTGTACTCTAGTTTAGGTGTTTCACCCTTGTGTAGCTTAGCTTCCCCTGCTGCGACAGGCGTAGGACTGCCTAGGTTGCCTAGTCTAGTCGCTGCACCGGCTCCGTCCCCGGCCTCCGCCACTGCGTCGCTGTCCTTCACTCTCGACTCTGGTGCTTCTGCCTGCTTCTTCCGCGACCGTTCCACGCTCACGCCGCTTGCTGCACCTGCTGTTGTCTCTCTCGCTGACCCCTCTGCGGGTCCGGTCGTCGCGCGCAGTTCTACGTCCCTTCCTTGTCCGGCAGTTCCCTCGGGCTCCCTTACTGGCCTCCACATTCCCTCGTTCTCCAGGAACCTGGTTGGTGTCGGCTGTCTCCAGGACCTCGGCGTCACCACCACGTTCCCCGGGCACGAGCGGTTCGCTGTCTGTTCTGAGGCTGTCTCAGGTTCCCCCCTTGCGACGTTCCCCCGGGACCCGGTGTCCGGTCTGTTTACCCTACACACCGCTTCCCCCCCGGTTGGTGCGTCCTCCCAGGTCGCTGCAGCTTGCTCGTGTCGGTCCCTCACTCACCCCTCCCTTCTCTGGCACCACCGCTTAGGTCACCCTGCTCTCCCGCGTCTGCGTCACATGTCCCAGCACGGTCTTGTCTTAGGTCTCCCCGCGTCGCTCCCTGCCCTTCCTCCCTCGACTGCGCCACCGTGCACGCCTTGCGTCGAGGGTCGGCTCCGCCGTGCTCCTCACTCCTCCTCGCTGCGTCCTGCTACTGCCCCCCTTCAGACCCTGCACTTGGACGTTTGGGGCCCTGCCCCCGTCCCCGGACCGCGCGGTGAGCGCTACTTCCTTGTGCTCGTCGACGACTACACGCGCTACACCACGGTGTTTCCCCTGGAGCGGAAGGCCGACGTGCCCGACGTTCTTCTCCCGTGGGTTGTGGCTGCGCGTCTCCACCGCGGTCTCCCCGTGTTGTGTCTCCACTCCGACCGTGGCGGCGAGTTCGCCTCTGGTCGGCTTGGACAGTTCTGTCGTGCGGAGGGCATCACCCAGTCGTACACGTTGCCGGACTCGCCACAGCAGAATGGGGTTGCTGAGCGCCGCATCGGCTTGGTCATGGAGGTCGCCCGTACCTCCATGATCCATGCCGATGCCCCCCATTTTCTGTGGCCGTTCGCTGTTCGCTACGCGGCTCACCAGCTTAACCTGTGGCCACGCTCCCAGCGGCCGCAGGTTTCGCCGACCCTCCTTTGGACCGGGTCCCCCGGTGACGCGTCTGCGTTCCACGTCTGGGGCTGCCTTGCTCACGTTCGTGCCTCTGGCACGAACAAGCTCACTGCCCGCACTGTCCCCTGTGTCTTCCTCGGTTTCCCCCTGGACTCGTCTGACTGGCTTTTCTACCACCCGCCGTCTCACCGCTTCCTCCACTCTCGTGACGTCACCTTTGACGAGTCCGTCTCCTTCTACCGCCGCTTCCCTCACCGAGGTCTCCCAGTTGCCCCCCCCCTTTTCCTTGCTCCCTCTCCCCCGGTAGCCCCTGCCCCTCTCCCGCCTCGTCCTGCCCCGTCTGGTGTCTCCCACGTCACTCCCCTCCCGTCGGTTGTCCCCGTTGAGGAGTCTGCTGACTCTGGTGGTACCCCCGGTCCGTCCTTGCCGCGTCCCCCTTCCCCGGTGCCTCCGCCCCCACTGTCGCAGTCGCCGACCCCGCTGCTGCCGCCGTCGCCGTCGCCGCCGCAGCCGTCGCCGCTGTCGTCGCCGCCGCCGCCGCTGTCGCTGCCGCAGCCGTCGCCGCTGTCGCCGCCGCCGCAGCCGTTGCCGCCACTGCCGCCGCTGCTCTCGGCCCCTGGGGGTGCTGGTGTGGAGGAGGGTGTTCGTCCTGCGGCTTCTGGGGGTGCCGCTGGTGTTGGAGGGGGTTCTCGCTCTGGGGGTGTTGGTTCTGGGGGTGCTGCTGTTGAGTGTTCTGCCGACGGTCGTTCTGCCTCTGCTGGTCCGAGAGTTCCGGCCCAGCCGTCGTTGCCGCCGCAGCAGCCGTCGCCGTCGGTTTCCGCTCTCCGCCTGCTCGGCCTTCCCTCCCCGGACCGCGCGCCGGTGTCTCCCCCACCGCCTCCTGACCTTCCTGTCTACGGTCCTGTGTTCCCGCCGCCAGACTCGTCTCCGGCCCGTCTTCCTCCTCGTTCCCCTCCTGTGTCTCCTCCGCTGTCCCCTGACCCTACCCCTCCGTCTCACGTTTGGGCTCGCCGTCCCTCCCGTGCTCGTCCCGTCTCTCCTGTCCTGCCCTCCCACCCTATGTTGCTCCGTTCCCACTCGTCTCGTCCTCCCCTCCTCCCGTCCCCTCCTCCCTCGTCCCTTGCTGTTGCACCTCCTCCGTTCTCTGACTACCTCCGTTCTGCTCGTCCCCTTGTCCCTCGGGTCCTTGCCTCTCTTGTTACCGACCCTACTGTTCCTGTCTCGCGCCTTGACGCGCTTGTCGCTGCTGTCGCTGACTTCGCTTCTACCCGCCGCCTTGACTACGCTACCGCTCTGGTCTCTGACCCTGCCCGTCCTCCGTCCGTCAGGGGTGCTCCTGCCCTTGGCAGTGACGTCCTAGAGGACAGGCAGTACGAGCTGGCTTTCCTTTCCGAGGCTGCTCCCCATCTCTGCTCCATGCTGTTAGTCCCTGAGGGTGACCCAGACGCCTTCGACATCCCGACCCCTCGCACCTACGCTGAGGCCACCTCGGGACCTTGGGCCTCTCAGTGGATAGCTGCCATGGAGCAGGAGATGGCATCTTGGAGATCCACCGGCACTTACGTCGACGCAGTTCCCCCGCCTGGGGTGAACGTAGTCGATGGTCGGTGGCTCTTCAAGGTGAAGCGCCCCCCTGGAGAGCCGCCTGTCTTCAAGGCGCGCTACGTGGCCAGAGGTTTCAGTCAGCGCGAGGGGGTGGACTTCTTCCAGACCTTCGCCCCGACCCCGAAGATGACCACTCTTCGGGCGCTGCTACACGTAGCAGCACAGCGTGACTACGAGCTTCACTCCCTCGACTTCTCTACTGCCTTTCTTCAGGGCAGCCTACACGAGCAGGTCTACCTGCGCCGACCACAGGGCTTTACTGGTACCTTCCCTCCTGGGACCCAGTGGCTTCTCAGGCGCCCGGTCTACGGCCTGCGTCAGGCTCCCCGCGAGTGGCACGACACGCTACGTGCCACGTTAGCAGACCTGCAGTTCTTTCCGTCCTCTGCTGACCCTTCACTGTTTGTGCGTTCCGGCCAGACTCCGTTCTACATCCTTGTCTACGTAGACGACCTGGTCTTCGCTACTCCTGACAGGGACGCACTCGCCTCTGTGAAGGCTGAGCTGCTGAAGAGACACACCTGCACTGACCTTGGAGAGCTGCGTCGCTATCTTGGCCTGCAGATCTCTAGGGACAGAGCAGCACGCACCATCACTCTGACCCAGTCACACTTGGTGCGTCAGGTCCTTCAGAGGTTCGGTCTTCAGTTCTCCTCTGCACAGCCCACACCTCTACCCGTAGACCATGGGCTCTCTGCTCCCGTTCCTGAGGAGCCAGTAGAGCCCAGTGGCCCCTACGCAGAGCTGGTGGGTTGCCTCATGTACCTGATGACTTGCACTCGCCCAGATCTCGCATACCCTCTCAGCATCCTGGCTCGCTTTGTGGCTACAGGCAGACACCGACCTCAGCACTGGTCTGCCGCTAAGAGGGTTTTGCGTTATCTTGCTAGTACATCGGGCATGGGGTTAGTGCTAGGAGGACGCAGGCCAGTGGTCCTTACTGGGCACACAGACGCTTCTTGGGCAGACGACGCTGAGACGCTCAGGTCGTCGCAGGGCTACTGTTTCAGCCTTGGTTCGGGTGCTATCTCTTGGAGATCCACTCGCTCGTCGTCTGTGGCTCAGTCTAGCTGTGAGGCTGAGATCTACGCTGGTGCCATGGCGGCACAGGAGCTCCGCTGGCTGACCTTCTTGCTCATAGACTTAGGTGAGCGGCCTAGCTCTGCCCCGGTCCTGTACGCTGACAACAGGGCCATGATACTCCTGTGTCAGGAGCCTCGGCTTGAGGGCAGAGCGAAGCATATCCAGCTGCGGTACTTCCTCCTGCGCGAGCTACAGCAGCGCCGCCAGGCCCGCGTAGTTCACTTGGCCTCAGGTGCCAACACAGCTGATATCTTTACTAAGGCGCTTGCGCCTAAAGATCATCAGCGGCACTGTGTACAGCTTGGTCTTGTTCCTGTAGCTGCTCCCCTGTTAGGATCCTGATTGTGTACTCTCTATTATATATGCTTGTCAGACTGGCCTTGTGGCCTTACCTCCAGTGGCTGGACTAGTAGTGCCACCCTGGCTTGCTTCAGTTTTGGTTGTATTCTTGCCGACTGGTCTCCAGACCCCTGCCTCAGTGGTTGGACTAGTAGTGCCGCCCTGAGCTGTTTGCTTCTTGTTTAGTTTCACCCCTTGTCTAGCCTAGGGGGTGTGTCAACTTATACATATTATCTATGTAGAAGTTATAGGCTAGACTGAGGTATGCTTCTAGTGAGTACAACCAACTAGTATTTGTTCTAGGTTTCCACCTCTAGTAATCATTCGTTTCTACGTTAACACCTGCGACCTGTGACAGCTCGCAAACCCAGTCCTACAAATCTCCCAGCCAATCGTGTGCTCGCGCCTGCTCGCTCTGAACAGCTTGCCTGCGTTGTGGAACTGCCCTGGTTCTGCCGAGTGAGGCTAACAACCCCTTAGAAAAAATCGAGGGTCCCTTGATTTCAAGTTGGACCCGCCCTCACTATTTTAGCCCCTCGCTTTAAGACTAATCAGACTAAATAACTGATAGCGTCAGCCATGGACAGGAGGCCATTAAATAATAATAATAATAGCATAGTAAAGAAAAGGTCACACGAAAGCCACAGTGATGCGGCTGCTGCTGTTGTCTATGCTGCCACCACTTTACATGCACGTGCACATGAACTAGGCATAGCAGGGTCATGATAAGGGGTAGCAGCATTGGAGAGCAACAGCAGCAGAAGCAGCAACAGGCATGCTAAATCCTAAAAGCTTCAAGTTCCCCCACACCCCCATTCCCTCAACCCCCGAGGAGAAGGTGGCTTCTTGACTCTGTCCATCTGCTTCCTGTCTCTGTTTTGTCTCACTGCTACTCCCATTCCCACATCCTTCCCACATCCGATCACAGTTTCTGCTTCAGCAGCCTCAATACAGTCCTCACTGAGATAGTGAAAACACTAACCCATATCCAACGAGCGGCCATAGCATCCCTTTTGCACAGCCCAGGCCAGTCTTAAACCTGATGCACCATAGGAGTGGGAGCTGCTGCTGGTGCCCAGGCACGACTGCCGTGGACTCTGCTGCTCCTTGCCACAGCTACGATGGCCATCCTTTCTCTTAGCCTCCTCTCATACCTCCTGTTATATACCATACAGCAAGGGATTTAAACGCCACGCTCCTCCTGTTCTGCACCGTACTGTCTGCGTTCATCACTGCTCTCCCCACTATCGTGCACACACAACTGCTGCAAACGCCATGCTTCTCCTGGGAAGCTATGCCTCCAATGAGCAAACTCAGCCCTCCACTGACTGCTGCTCCATATTCCCCACGCCCCCCACCCCTGCAATTCACTCCTCGAGTCCAATGTACAGGCCCAAGTACTGATAATGGCTGCAACCCTTGCTGCTGCTTCTGCTGCTCTGTTGCTTACTGCTGCTTCAGGCTTCTGAGTCTGACCAGCAGAAGGAAGGTGATAAAGCGAATTAGCAGGCCGAAACCTAGCAGCACCAGCAGGTTCAGCCACATATTCAGGTCGGGCTGCCCGACCAACGTAACCATCAACTGTTGCCCGTCCTGTAGGCAAGTTGTTGCCGAAATGTTCTTGTAGGGCGTGCCCGCCAAGAGCGTCCTCATTCCCAGAAACGCCTTGTTCATCGTTGTCTCGTTAACATAAGGCTGTAGCGGAGTGTTTAGAAACATGTTCCCAGCTTGCATGTAGCAGGGCCCGCCGCGGGTGAATTCGCTCTGGATAAGCGCCTCATACGCGTATTTCATAGGCGAGAGGTAGTGTAGCCAGATCCAGTAGTTGGGGATGCTGTACTTGGGAATGTAGAAGCCGCTCACGAGGGCGAAGTACGCCATGAGCGCGATTCCAGCGGCGTAGGCCAGCACGACACTGTTCAGGAGAGGGGGGAGAAAGATGAGGGAGAAAAGGGAAAGGGTTAGGAAGTGTGGAGGGACGAGGTACGATGGAACTTGAGCCGAGTCATCAGCAGCAGAGAGAATGTTTTGGACGAGTGTATTTTAGAAACTGAGGGGAAAAAGCAACGAGGGAACCGGATAATGTGGAAGGGAGAAGGAAACTTACTGGTCCACGACGACGCTGATGGCGATGGCGAATGAGCTGGCGGAGAAGAGGATAAGGAAACACGTAAGCAGCATGAAGAAGAACCCCGCAGCGCCGCCAGTCAGATTGATGGCCCACCAGTTCTCTAGGACGAAGATCAGCGCCATGGCGAGCTGTAGCGGGAGGTAGACTAGGGTCGTGGCGACGAGGTAGGTGGAGGGGCGGTAGGCGTTGCGCGTGGTTTCGCGGATGAAGATGTTTCGCTCCTCGATAAAGATGGGCACGGCGTCCAGGCAGCAGAAGAAGAGCACGCAGATGGAGAAGGAGAAGAACGCCAGCCGCTCCTGGAACCCTTGCAGGCTGGTGAGGAGATCAGGGGGAAAGAGCGGCGAGGGCGGAAAGAAAGGAGAGGAAAAGGAGGGGAGACAACAATGAGTGTTACAAAAATACACAATCTGAATATTATAACAACGATGAGAGCAACGTATATTTCCCCCTTCTAAAAGTCCACGTCTCGCAGTGTTGCGGCTAGCGATCGAAACCTTTTTAACATGGTTACGCGAAACAGCGCTGAAGGCTTGATTTCGCTCAACATTTCCCCGACTCGTTGAACTCGCTGGCCAATCACTGAAGTCGAACATAAGCAAGTGCGATAAACCAGGAAATCGAAATTGTCTGCTTACCTCGAGTCGGGGTTGAAATAGAGCGTCGCGAGCATGAGGCCCGTCACGGCCACCAGCGCCAGCCGCAGCAGGTAGAGAGCCGGCGTGCGCCAGAGATTCAGAGCCGCGCGTCTCGTCAGAACCATCAGCTCGCCCATCCACCCATTAGCGTACCGCCGCGTGTCCGCCACCACGCCCTTGTCCTCGGAAACGCACGTCTCCCCGGAAACGGACTTCTGCACGGTGATTGCGGCGGCGGATGCGGCGGCAACTACGGCGGCATCGACGGCAGGTTCTGCCGCGGCGCAGTCGTCGATTTGCAAGGCCACGGCGCCGTCGGCCCCGCAAGTCGCGGCGTCATCGGCGCAGCAGGAGGTAGCATCGTTAGAAACGGGATGAGGGACTGGAAGCGCGGCGACGGGCTTGGCGACGCTCGCTTTCGTCAGCGACGACTGAACGGCGTCCTGCGACATGTGCGACAGTTGCTGATACGACGCGGCGTACGCGACGAGGTCTGCGACCCCACGCGCGGAGCGCTGATAATCCTCGATAAGATCTAATGCGAACTCGGTGCTGTTGGCGAATCGCGGCACGGGGCAGCCGAACGACGCGAGGAACGTGGGGAGCTGGGGAGGCGGCCCGTGAAAAATAGTATGCCCCGACGCGAGCAGCAGCAGGCGGTCGATTAAAGACAGCACGCGGAAACTCGGCTGGTGCAGAACCATAATAGCAATGCTGCCGGTCTGCACGGCGATGTCTTTAATCGCCCGCACGACGCGGTACGCGCTAGTGGAGTCCAGCCCCGACGTGGGCTCGTCGAGAAAGAGGATCCGCGGATCGCTCACCATCTCCACGCCGATCGCCACGCGCTTGCGCTCGCCGCCGGACACACCACTGCGGGGGAGAGAGAACCGAGGAGCGAACACGAGGGGCGAGGCAGAGTGAGACGAGAAGACGGCGGTACGACAGGCAATTCCGCGAGGGCCCAGAGAGCGCGGTAGGTTGAGGAATGAGGGGCAAGTAGGAAGGTTAATCAGGAGAGTGGCTTCTTACCGTTGGCTTTCGTTCCCGATGAGCGAATCGGCCACTTTCGTGAGCCCCAGCAGCTCCAGAAGGCTCTCCACCTTGCGCTCCTTCTCCTCGCGCGTCACTCCGCGCGCCGACAGCCGCAGCTCCGCGGCGAACATGAGCGTCTCGCGCACCGTCAGCGCGGGGAACATTAGGTCGTCCTGCATCACGTACGCCGACATGCGCCGCATTGTACTCCCGCGCACCACGGCGCCGTCCAGCTCCACCGACCCGGACCGCCGATCCGTCGCAATGCGGTGAGCGAGGATGTTAAGGAGCGTCGTCTTGCCCGAGCCGCTCGCGCCCATGATCGCGGTGACCTCGCCGGATCGCGCGGCGCCGTTGATGTCGGCGAGAATCGTACGGGTGTAATTCTTCTTCATCGTCAGCTGCCGAGATACCGAGCTCAGCTTGCTGCTCGCTTGGCTCAAGCTGCTTCGGCAGCTTTCGCCGCTCCCGCCAGTTCCTTTTTGGGAAACGCTTGGCGTATTGGCGGCGTTGCTTCCGCAACCGGGAGCGGAGGCGCCGGCGTCGCTCCCGCGCTTGCTCCGCGTGGAGACGGTGTAGGACACGTGGCGAAAGCGAAGCTCCATAGACCTGGCGACGAGTGGCTTCTTGAAAACCGCGTCGTCGGATTCGACTGACGAGCCGCAGTCGATCTCCACTTGATCGGATTCCGACCCGGTTGATGACGAGGAGGAGGAAGCTCCCGAGGCGGACGTGCGCTGCGGAGAGGACTCTTCGGAGTACCGCATTTGGTACGAAATGCTGACGGCGGTCTCAGCGGCGCGAGAGGAGGCGGAGACGTCGTGAATGGGCGCGGCGGAGAGGAGAGCGGCGGAATGCGGAGGAGGCGCGGTAGGCGGGGACGCGCCTTGTGGGTCCATTTCTGGTGTCTGGGAAATGGCGTTCTGTCGAAGAGTAGGGGATGGGTAGTCGAAGATCCGAAGCTGTAGCGGTGATACGAGGAGGTCTCAGAGGCGGAAACCCCGAGAGGATGTCTCGTGGATCGTACAGGCTACTCGGCACGGACTGAAAATGCAAAAAGGGTAGAATGCGGACTTATTGAGACTCGGACCACGAGGATGCAATGTGAATGCAGGAAGCCCTGACGTGGCAGCCCTCTCAAGTCTCTAGTCGCCTCTCCAACTGCCTCCCTCTCAAGCTGGCTCCTTGAGGAATGGTTCTGCTGCAGGCAAGGAGGTGCTGCGCTGGGCTGTGCGGAGCAACTGTGAGGTGGTCTGCTGGGATGTGCGCTTGAAAAGAGAGGAAAACGTCGAGCTTTCAACTCAACTGGCACCAGCACGGCGCTAGCATGCATTGCGTTGAGCGCATTTGGGAAATTGGTTTCAAGGCATGGCTTCCTCTGTTGCTTCCTACATTCGTGTGATGTGTGGGAGGGAGGGGAGGAGGAGGAGGAGGTTGTTGACTAACTTTGCCTTGCTGGATCCGCGCTGGCCCCAAATATTCCTCAGCCCCTCGATCCTTCCCCCAGGGCCGTAGGTGCCCTCAGTCCCCGAGTCCGACAGCGGCTCTCCCCCTCCACCTTTCCCCCCACGCATAATGCAGCCCAGCGGAGGCAGTGGGCAGCCCAGCGCAGGCAACCCAGCGCAGCACTGGTCAGGCAGTGGTGCTTGTTGCCTTGCGCTGGGCTGCTGCACCATGTGTCGAGGGGTGCACGTTGAAGGGCGTGGGTTTGGTGTTTCCGAGCCGTGGTTCATGAAACGCGCCGATGCACCGAATTTCGACACCGGGGACCAATCAACAACAGTACAGCTGGCCTTGAGGGAAGCACGAAGGGGGAATTGTTGTTGGGTAAGTTGGCAGAAAGAAGCCTTTAGGGCGCGGTACACGACTTCGTTTTTTGAGTTTGCGACGGAAGATCGGCCCTCAGGTTTTGGAAGCCAGGGCCGGCCTAATTTTGAGGCTTGGGGGTTTCCCGCAAACCCTCATGTACCAGTAGGCAACCCTCACTCTAGGTTGCATGCAGTTGGAGCTGCCAAAATGTTAACATGGTAACCCTGGGGATGCGGTGCCGCTGTCTGTGGTACATGGGATTTCTGTAGTTCGAAGTTTGCCTCCGCGACCCTTGCCTCGAACCCGACCTCGGGGGTCATGTACCGCGCCCTTCTACTGTACGACAGTGGGAGGAGCCAAAAGGAAATTGTGGATTCGATTTGGCAGCAGGAAAACGCGGTGGCCCTGACCAGACTGGCTTTCCGCGTGGTGGAGTGGGGTGGGGAGGAGAGGAGATGAATGTGGAAGTGGAGACGCGAGGTGTACGGGTTAGCTGGAAAACATATTTGGGTTGAGTAGTTCTGCCTTCGTGCCCAAACACTGCGAGCAACAGAAGATGCTGGGGACAACAGCTGTACAGTGTTAGGATTCCTGGGGAAATGAGGCGAATTTTGTAGAAAATCTCAGGTCGGTCATAGCTTCGCGCTGAACGGCGCGGAGAAGAAAGTGGACCACCGCTGGGGACACATGCTAGAGCTGTGGTCTTGTCTTGTTACACCACAAATCGATTTAATAACTGGTTTGGGGTCGCCGCAACCTGGAACACGACATGTCAGGTCAAAGCAACCAATCGCATTTGGTCGAAATCTGGTTTGTTCGACCGGCATGTCATGACAGGCTGGCTTGCCTTACCACTACCGCTGACAAAGTTTGTCTGCCTCCGGTCCACCGTTCCTCCATCAGACGATGCAGTGGGTGAACCGATTGTGGGGTGTACGCACTAAATTCCCGTGATTCAGGTTGAGATCAGGGCTCTAGGTTCAAGGGCTAACATACGGAATGTCAGGAAAAGCCCTGAGCAATCCGGATTGCGGGAAAAATTATCCTGGCCATCAGGCTGGCATGGAAAATTACCCGTGCTGGAATTGCAACCCCCCACTCCCCCTTACCCCCCCCCCCCTCCCCACACCCCCCCCCCCCCCTCCCCACATTCCTTCGCAACCCTGACAAAAATTCCACGCAATCTGAAGGCGCGAGCCGTGGAACTTTCACAACTACAGTGTAGGGCTGTCAGACCTATCACAACCCCGTAATATCACCTTAGCCAGGTTGCGCACTGTCCATCTAACTTGTATGCATTTCTGTCGCGATGAAGGGAAGTGTCGAACTTGGTGTGGTGGTGAGGGACAGCAGCAGCAGCAAGTGTGTGTTCTGTATTCTCGATTGTTTCTTCCAAGTGCCCACAGGCTCCACTGATATGTAGGGAGTCCCAAAAACACTCTGAATTTCATATTGAAACTTCGAAGTAATCCTGAAACTAAGAGATGTTCCAAGGAATGCTGAATTTTCAGGGTCTTCAAAGGACGCAAATCCTGAGACCACTGTCTTGAAACGAGAAAATAGCCCTGGTGGAGATATAGCAAAACTTGTATATGCCACTTCCATATAAACTTGAAATGCCTACAGAAGTTGGTCGCATTTGAAAGCTTACCCCTCATACAACAGACACACCATTGAGGCATCACAAAAAGCACCTCACTCGTTGGCCAAGCAAGAAGCTTTTAGGGAGGCCACCTGGTGGCAGTCAGAATCCCGGAAAGGAGCAACTCTACTCTACATCTACATCCTAATAAGCCAAAAGCCCATAATGTCGCCTCCAACTCAACATTCCCTAGCATATGACACCACCCCGACCTCACCTCATTTACAGTTTACCAGGCCTCGTCCAAGCCAAGTCAGGCGCTGATATACCTCTCCGCAATGTGCCTGCCAGTCTGTGATTCAGTCTTCTCCACACTTACCCTCGCTTGGTGCGAGAGAGCCTGACCAGCAGCAGCCAGTGCAGCAGCCGCAGCACGCACCCCATCCCCAGCAGTACCGCCACACACTCCCACTTGCTCAGCTGCGTCAGCCCAAGCGAATACACCAGCAGCTGCGGCCCCGTCTGCAAGCACGTATCCACTGAAATATCCGCAAACGGCGACTGGGCAAGTGCCGGGCGAAGCACAGCCAACGATTGGTTCACTTGGGCCCGAGACACGAGCACCGAGAGAGGGGTAGCAGAGAAAATGTCCCCGGCGGGCTGGTAGCAGGTGGAGGGGCCGGCTGAGGCGAATTCGTTGAGGGTGACGGCCTCGTAGGCGTACTTGATGGGCGAGATGTAGTGCAGCCAGATCCAAAAGGGTGGGATGCTCTGGCGCTGGATGTAGAAGCCGCAGACCAGCGCGAAGTTGGCCATGGTGGAAATGACTATGGCGTAGGCTAAGATGACACTGTTGTAAGAGTGGGAGGGGCGAGGAAAAGAAGGGAGAGAGGAGATGAGCAAAGATGGCAGCACATGCACTTCTTTGAGGTTTCTCTGCAACGTTGACCAGCACACAAGATGGCCACAGAGGCATTTCTTTGTCACACTCCCTGGTTCACATCCACAATACTGCAAGTAGTGTAGGCACTCTGAGTGAAAACAGAACAGAAGCAGTCAAGCACCTCGCATCCGAGTGAGGGCACCACAAGCACACTGTGCTGTCACTCTCACTTGTTCACAGCAGCACTGATAAATGTGGCATAGGCACTCCTTGTGACGAGGCCGCAGAAGCACACGAGCCCCCCCAAGTCAACGAAAGCGGCATATGCAATTCTTTGTGAGACTCACTTGTTCACAGCAGCACTGATGAATGTGGCATAAGCATTCCCCGTGAAGAGGCAGCAGAAGCACACGAGGACCACAAAGGAGAAGGAAGCAGCGCCGCCCGACAGGTTGACACACCACCAGGACTCGGCTGTGATGGCAGCAGCCATGAGCACGTGCAGCGGCAGGTACACCAGGGTAGAGGCAACCATGTAAGTGGACGGGCGGTACGCATGCTGAGACGTTTCTCTGATGAAAATGTTGCGCTCCTGAAGGTGATGTAGGGAACAAAGGGAGGAAACGGAAAGAAGACAGTGAATTTCGGGGGTGGAAGGAGGCGGGAAAGGAGAGCCGTGAGTCAGGTGTGTCGAGGCAGCACCAGGACTCGGCTGTGATGGCAGCGGGCATGAGCACGTGCAGCGGCAGGTACAACAGGGTCGACGCCACCATGTAGGTGGACGGGCGGTACGCGTGCTGAGGCGCTTCTCTGATGAAAATGTTGCGCTCCTGTAGGCGAGGGGAGGATGCGATGGGGCAATTAGATGGAATATGGTTGATAAGTGGGGTGGGTTGGGGGAAGCGAGGAGATGGGTGCGTGGGAACTGGTTCAGGAAGCAGAGGGAGCAATCCAGGCACAGGGCTTGGCATCTCCTCACCCCCCACCCCCCCCCATCCCCCCCACCTCCCCCCCCATCCCCCCCCCATCCCCCCCACCTCCCCCCCCATCCCCCCCACATCCTCTCACCTGGATGAAGAGCGGCGTGGCGTCAGCGGAGGAGAAGAAGAGCGTGCACACGAGAAACGAGATGAACGCCAGCCGCTCGTGCAGGCCCTCCGCGCTGCAGGAAGAGAAGGGGAGAGAGAATGGGGGGAGAAGAAGAGGGGGATGGGGGAGGGGGAGGAGGGGGGGGTGGGGAGCGCGAGGGGAGGGGGTGAGTGACAGAGAATGCAATCCCCGCTTCCCCAGCCTAGTTCCCCATCCCCATCCGCGAACTTACTTGAAGGGCGGGCACCAGAAGAGCGAAGCGATCAGCAGCCTGGTGACCATGATGAGCGGCAGGCGCAGACCCGGGACAACTACCATACAAGACTCACTTATGAACGGCGTAAGGCGCTTCAGTCAACCAGACTCACTTGAAGGGCGGGCGCCAGAAGAGCGAGGCGATGAGGAACCCCGTGACCATGATGAGCAGCAGGCGCAGCAGGTACAGCGAGGGGGTGCGCGCAATCACGCGCACGGACCGGCTCAGCAGCACACGCAGCTCGCGCCACCACCCGTTCGCATACTTGCGCTCGCCGCCGCGGTGCTCCGTCTGCGCGCCCGCGCGATTGCCCTCCCCGAGGAAACCTTTCTGCGCGCTGCCGCTGCCGCCGCCACCGCTGCTGATGCTGCTTGATTCCCTCATGAGAATGCCTGGCGAAGCACCTGACAGGCCACCTGATGCGCCACCTGATGAAGCACCTGCGGGGATAGCGACCCTTTCACCCCCATCCGTAGAGCCTGGCGGCGCTGCTCCCCTTTGCGCCCCTGCAGTCGCCGCCGCCGCAGCCGCCGAAGCTGCTGCAGCCGCCATTCTCGCGGCTACAGCCGCCGCAGTCGCTGCCGCCACTGCGGCCTGATCCGGGCTGAAGCACGTGGACGGGCTACTGGGGGGGATGGAGAAGCTCTCCCCACCCTCGCTACTGTCACGAAACGACCCGCCGCCACCGCCTCCGCCACCCTCGCTACTATCACGAGACCCTCCTTGCGACCAGATGACATAGAACTCAGCGAGCCGCTGGATTCCGCCTGCCACGTCCGTCAACTTTCCCGTCTTCGTCACCGTCTCCGTCTCCCCATTGCTACAGCCACCGGACGCCTGCCTGGTCCCTCCACACTCATCTGCCGTGTCAGCAGGAGCTTCCGTCGTCACCACGTGGCACTTAATATTTTCGGTACCATCCTCGTTATACGCCTCCTCGTTAAGATCCTCCTCCTCATCATCGTCGTCCACATCTTCTCCGCACTTCGCGCCTCCCTCCGCCTCGTGCCCCAGCCGTTGGATCACATCCAGAGCGAATTCCGTCGGGTTCGCGAACGGCGGCGGCGGGCAGCCGAACGCCGACAGGAAGTCGGGCAGCTGCGCGGGCTGCCCGAAGAACAACATCCGTCCCGCGCCGAGCAGCAGCAGCCGATCGAGGAGACCCAAAAGCCGGAAACTCGGTTGGTGCAGAACCATAACCACAATGCTCCCGGTCCGCACCGCGATTCTCTTAATCACTTTCACGACTCGAAAAGCGCTGGTGGAGTCCAGGCCCGACGTGGGTTCATCTAGAAACAGAATCTCCGGATCGCCGATCATTTCGACGCCAATCGCGACGCGCTTTCTCTCGCCGCCGGAAATTCCACGGCTGTTCTCGTCGCCGATCTTGGAGCCCGCCACTTTAGTGAGGCCCAGCAGGCGGATGAGGCGGCGGACTTTCTCCGCCTTCTCCGCTGCGCTCACGGTCGGCGGAAGGCGCAACTCTGCGGCGTACATGAGCGTCTCGCGCACCGTCAGCGCGGGGAACATCAAGTCGTCCTGCATGACGTATGCCGACAGCCGTCGGATCGTATCGCCTTTTACCGGAGCGCCATTCAAAGAGATCTCGCCCGTTAGGTTGCGGGATGAGATGCGGTCCGAGAGGATATCGAGGAGAGTAGTCTTTCCCGAGCCGCTGGCTCCCATTATTGCGGTAACTTCGCCAGCCTTCGCGAACGCGGAGACGTCGCATAGAAGCTGCTTCGGAACGCGTTTGGACCTCGGCTGGAGGAGCTTCTTATTCTGGACCGAGTAGGAGACGCCGCGGAAGGCGAGAGACGTTACCGGCTGCCCGTTAGGGCTGTAAGACGGAGTGCCGTCGGATGGGCTTGATGCGCCCGGTGCGTCGGGAGCGACGTCGACCGTGCATTGGCACATGGCGGCACTTAGCAGGAAGAAGGGGTCTGCTTCTGCGACCACCATGGTTGCGGGAGCTAGGAGATGCAAGACGAATGTGGGCTAGTAGCACGTGCACCTAAGATGAGCGACTGATGCTGCCTCTAATGGTGGAGGAAGGGTGCGAAAGGTTAGTGAGCAAGACAGCCAGGACAAGGGGGGAAGACTAGATCGACACTTCCGCGGGTGGAGATTCCTGAAATATCCAGGGGAGGGTACTTCAGTGCAGGGACTTGTTCGAGCCGCTGGAAGGGAACGACATCAGCCTCGTTGTTACCGACTTTGGGGGTGGTTGTGGCACCTCGGGGATTGCTAGCCTTGGGCATTGGGCATTGCTAACTTCGCTGCAATAACCTAGATGACCTCGATGTTGATGATAATGCTGCCAATTCCAGATTGCGCCGCTCAGCAGCACCTATTCTCTAGGTTGCGGCGTGGCGCAGCGCAGCGGTGAAGTTCTCTGTGGAGTGGATGCGCGGTGGCGGAGAGTAGTGCGGCGGGTGACGGGTGAAATACACGGGGACAGCGTGGGGGATGGGGGGCTGCTGTGTAGGGAAAGGGGGAGTGAGCGGGGTATTTGGGGAGGGAAGAGGGGGAGGAGGGGAAAGCGCGGGGATGGGGGAGGGAGGGGGAGAGGTTGGATGGAGGATGTATCCTCTGTATGGGAGGAGGAAATGACTCAAATTTACCCAGATCTAAAATTAATAGACAAACGTTTACCCAGAATCCGAACAGTTCGAAAACAGTGCCAAATCTTGCAGATCGCCCTGACGTCTTCAGCATGTTGTCTAAAAAACCACAGGCAAGTGACATTTACGAACTCTCAATTCTCGCCTTTCTCGTTGATACTCTATGTCTAGTAAAACACACAGACAAAATGATACAGGTCAGCCTCGACTGATGCAACAACCCCTAAGGCAAACATTTGTACCGGGCAACTATTCGATAGAAGCAACTCCCAAGTACGCAATATATACGATGTTCCACCAATCGTATAAGCGTATATAATATGGTTAAGACCGCATCTCATTTGTCGGCGATCTCCACGCCCCACTCATACCCCCCTTCCCAAACCATTGATGCAAAATTGATCCACATATTGACGTTGACTAAACCAGGAACCAATTGAATGAGAACACCTGATTCCATTTGTTGTTTCCAAACGAGACAGGCTTGGAGCCGAAGCTGGAACCACATACAAATCTGCACAACCTTCTAATCTGAAATTTAATAAATCATTGCTCAAAGAGGCGATGTAATACACAGCCTGTACCACAGCTCGCGTCGGATTCAACCTCGCGTTATAATCGTAACGACTCTATTGGCACTACATCGAGTTCAGACAGAAATTCCGTGCAGTGCGCATAACCGTATGATTCGGATGCGAGCTCCTATAAGGCTTTGTTTTAGAAATAATCCCTAATTCTAGTCAATATTTTGCATTCCTCGCACCAATTTTGATATTTTAATGTGCTTCGCGACTTTAGCGAAAGGATACCGATCAATTAAAATTGTACATACTTTCGCAAATAACATGTATTTCTTGTTTCTAATGTTTTGAGCAGTTCTCGTTCTGAAATTTGCAACCCACCCCATATAGCGTTACATCAACATGTGCGAGACTGCCTATAACTTCCCGTCGTAGAGTATGACAAGGGCAACGATCATGTAAAGTACACTACAAACAGCGCCACAACATCAAATACAAAAACATCTACATTGCACAGCCCCCTTCAAACAGAGCAAGTTCGAATAATCTTAACGCTTACTTTGTTCGAATGTGATCTTTAAATATCGTCTAGATGTCACTGTTCGAAGCAGTGTTTTAGGCAGCGACAAAAAAAAAAAAAAAACAATACCCTTAGGGCACCCTCAAACGACTTGGGAGGCATCAACCCTAAACTCTTAAACAATTCCGTGAGTTCATGGTCTACCCATCCCGAACGGCGTACGGATTCTCGAAGGGTTCGTTTGAGTCATGATTTTCCGTCAACGACCAATAATCATTTCTGTCGTTTGCAATGAGTTTCCGTTTTTGTCCTGAATTCAAACAGTTGTGTCGGTAAATTGAGTGGCTTCGTGAACAGTTTGTCGTTTTAAGACAAATGTACAGAAAACGACATGATGTGCAGGCAGATTCGGTAACTGTTTTGGATTTGGGTGTATGTCGCTTTAACGACTTTAGATCTGGGTAGATTTTAGCTGTTTTCTCGTATGGGAGTCCGGGTCCGGCCTCTCGAATCGAATCTCGATTACAGAAGGGCGGTGCCCCCGAGGAGAGCAGCTTCTGTCGGAGCGGGACGAAGAAAAATTCGGAACGAAGGGGTTGGGGTTATGTTTGGTTGGACGGACGGATGCAATCTGAAAGCAGGGGATGCTGATCGAACGGTTCATCGAACAGTTGTGGGGCCGTGCCCGGAAAGCCACGTGTTCTGCATCCTCCTACCACAATCGTGCGTGCTGTGGGGGACAGGTAAGGTGCTTGTCACACGCTGTGAATTTTATGGGTAGGGGATGAGTTTCGAAATTTTCCAACCTCGCGCTGTACAACGGCAGGAGTCAGTTCTGTGGGGCCAGGCCACCAATTGAGGGGCTGTCTCCATCCGTGGCCAAGCTCGAAGCGTCAGACCTCGAAACTGAGGTTCAGGATGTTTATGTCTGCGTAGTTGGCGGGAGAAGGCTGGTGAAAAAGTTGTGAATAAAGTCACCGTCCAGTCGCATCGCAACTGGCTGTCCATCAGTGTCACGATTTCTCCCGTAAGCATAGCCCCAGCATAATGTCACACCAAGCGCACCACAAACCTGCACAGGTCCTGGCGATAGCAGTGACCCGATCAGTCATGAAAGATATCTGTCACATGAATTATGATGTAAGCTGCTGCTGTCCACGTCATTCTGACCCAGGTTTTCTATTGGATGCTCAGCTAACACCTGTATGCAACTTGCTTCGATCCGCTATAGAAGCAATCACCGTTGAGACAGACACTCAACATAGCACCTTGCTTAGTGCTGTAAAATAGTGAATTATACTTCTCGCAAACTATTACGCACTTTAGGGACTGTTATGAATGGAACTGCCGAGTAGCGCGGAGGGAATGGCGAAACTATGAATGATTGAATGGCAATAAAATGAAAGACAATATATAGGAAGCCTAAGGTGATCCTGGACGTAGGATTGGAAGGTTCGGAAAAAGTCTCGAAGGGCCTCGATGTGTCGAAGCGAGGTCCGGAAAGGCCCAGGAGGCTCGAACTTAAAGGCCTGGAAGCCTATCGCTGGTTCGGGACCGTTCGAGTCGTACGCCTTGTAGCAAGCCACAGTAAGGAATTACTAATTCCTTACAGGGACGGTTCCTGGGGTTGCGGTTTCGCTTTGGGTTGCGCAGTCGGCATGGTTACAGCCTCGCGAATATCGTTGATCAGGTCGTTATGGGGGTCCTGGTTCGCGGGTTGCGCAACTGGCTGCGCAAATATGGGATGCGCAACCCTGGGATGCGCGCAACCTTAGCCGCCACTCCCTCAGCAGGGCTAGTGACAGCGACCTTCGCGTACTGACTGAAGCGACGGCAACTAATCAGCCGCTTTTCATAGGCTCTCGTCGATAAGCTCCACAGAGGGGACACACAGCCTGCGCCGATGTGTCTAGTTGTCACTTCAAATGGACCACATGCGCGGCATGGCTTCGGACGGAAGCGCTGACCTCGAGCCGTGCCACGTTATTCATGGTTACCTTATTCCAAAGCTAACCTATCATGCTCCGCTTGTTGGACGCATCGTAGGCTGATTGCGAGCGTTGCTGATCTGACAACAACCATGCCGGACATGCACTACAGTACGAACGAACTGCCAAATCAGTGGCGATAGCGTTGGATGGTCCGTCACCCGTCAGCGTCAGCATGAAACGAATGCGACGTGCGGTGCTAGTCGCCGGACCTTGGATGACACGGTGGTGATGTCTCCCTGCCTGTCAGTCGCATGACGATGCAACAGTCGCTCCTATCAGTGCGTTTGCCGATGCCAGCGTCGCCATCATCAGGAAACGTCGAATTCATTGCATCGGTCAAATCTGGCCGTTGGTTACTACTCTTGGGAGTGACGTACGGATGTCATCTCCCTCGGAGGAACAGTGGGTTCGATTTCACCGCCTCGCTGGGTCGACCACTAGTATGCCGGTCCATTTCACCACTTGGCGATGTTCGCCAGTCGCTTTCGCCAATCACACACCAGTACCGAATCGTCGAGCCGCCTCGCTTTGCGGCATGCAAGGATCGACAAGCGACCAACAATTCATATACCGCATGCTCGCTTGCTTCTTCTTTCAACGGTCACCAGGTCACCACTTCTGCATGCCTGTATCCAGCACACAATCTCGTCGTGCGCTCAATTGAGCCGGTCGAGGGGCCTGACGAAGTCGCAGCGAGCGATTGAGCGACTCACTCGCTGATTCCTCCTAGCCCAGCTGGCAGCGATTGAGGGAGATTCTCTCTTGCTCGTAGTGAGTCTGACCCCCCTTACCAAGCGCCGTGCGCTGCTCTTGCGGCCTGCAGCACTTGCTCCCTTGGACCGGCTGGTTGCCTCCTGTCTTCCCCCGAGGGAGTCCCTCCACCGCTACCAGGCTCCCCCCCCTCGATCTGAACGCGCGGACGCGCGGACCACCACGCAACAGCCGGCACCCCTTGCTACTACTAGTGCGTGCCAGAGCTTCCACATGGCTCCTAACGTCTCCTCTGCTGCGAGTTTCAATTCTGCCGCTGTTTCCACTGCTGTTTCCACCGCTGGTTCTGCCGCCAGTGCCGCTGCTCCTATTCCCTCTGCCAAGGCCGTGCCTACGCCACCTGCTGAGATGCGTGCACCACACGCAACCCGGCTCAAGCTGCTCCCCGGCCCTGCTGACGTGGATGGCCACCCGCGCAAGTGGTCCCCACCGCCGCCGCAGGATGGCGTCCCATTGGACGAGCGCCCCGAGTGGCTGAGGGACGAGGCGGCGCCGTTCCTGGAGCTGTTTGCGCGCAACGTGAGGAAGTTTCCGAGCAAGGCGGCGGTGACATGGGTGGTTGCGAAGGGGGAGGTGAAGCAGTCGTACACCTATGAGCAGGTGCGCGGCTTGCGAGGTGAAGCAATGTTGTTTCTGAAGCTGGTCTGAGCATGACATGAGAACAAACACCTATGAGAAGGTGACGTGGGTGGTGGAGAAGGGGGAGATCAAGCAGTCATACACCTATGAGGAGGTGCGTGGGTGAGACGACATGCCTTGCCATGGATGTTTGGAGTTGCCGGGAGCTGTGATCATTACACAGCTGAGCTACACTTATTGCCTCGTCCTGCTTGTGAAAAAAAAAAAAAAACAAACAAAAAAAAGGTCCCCTCTCCCCACCTTGCGTCCTCCTCCCTCGCCCTCCGCCCCCATCCTTCCCAGCTGGATGCTCTCTCCCGCGCTGTGAGTGCATCGCTTGTGGGCGAGTGGGGAGCGGCAGAGGGAGACAGAGTGGTGCTGCTGTACCCCCCAGGGCTCGACTTCCTCATCGCCTTCATCGGCTGCCTGCGTGCTGGTGCGTGCCGGTTGAGCGGTATTGCACAGTGGTTGAGAGGGAGACAGAATGGTGCTGCTGTACGCCCCGGGACTCGACTTGCTCATCGCCTTCATCAGGTACCTGCGTGCTGGTGGTGCGTGGTGTGATCTGTGGTAGGTGGTGGTACTGTGCACGTTGGTGTGATAGCTTGCTTGTGGGAGGCAACAGCTTGCCAGTGGGGGGCCAGGACCGGGTGACAGAGACGAGCTTTGGTTGGTGTCTCTCCAGACTCTCTTCCCACGCCCGTCACCAGGATTCAGGAGCCAGTGTGCCCCCCCACCCCGTAGGAATGTATACAAGGCCTGGAAGAAACTCACCGACACACACCGGCCCGCCCGTCCCCTCCCTGCATACTCTCTCCTTCCGCGTTCCAGGTGTCTTAGCCGTGCCGGTATCCCCGTGAGCTGAAGAGAGACGTGGAGAAGCTCACTCACTCTTCCCCCCAGCGCCTTAACCTGTTTCCGTGTTGCACGTGTGATGACCGTGCCAGTGTAACCCCCCAATTCGCCCGCTTGAAGCCCAGCAAGGGCGTGGAGAAGCTCGCTCTCTCTCCTTTCCGCCTGTCCTCCTCCCCGCCACCCCCCCCACCTCTTTCCTCGTTGCAGGTGTTATTGCTATCCCCACGTACCTCCCAACCCGCTTGAAGCCCAGCAAGGCCGTGGAGAAGCTCGCTCACTCCTCCTCGCACCCTCCTTTGCCCGACCTCTCTCCTTCCCGCTCACAGGTGTCATAGCCGTGCCGGTCTACCCGCCCAACCCGAGTGAGCTGAGCAAGGACGTGGAGAAGCTTGCTCAGTCCCCCACTCCCCCCCTTCCCCCGTGCCCAACCTCTCCCCCTCTCCCCTCCAGGAGTCATAGCTGTGCCGGTGTACCCCCCCAATCCCCGCGAGCTGAAGAAGGACGTGGAGAAGCTCACCCGCCTCGTCAACGACTGTGGGGCGCGCATCGTGCTCTCCACGTCCGAGTGAGTCGGTGGAAATGTAGTCAGAGAAAGAACACCCTGGTATGACGTCAGAGAAAGAACACCCTGGTATGACGTCAGAGAAAAGCAGCCTCGTCTTTTGTCCTGGTGGCGATCACAACATGCGAGTGATCTCTTGTCTCTCCACCATGTGTGCTCCTCTGTGTACCCTCCCCTCCCACCAGTTACCGCTCCAAGTTCCGTGTTTCCCCGTTTGAAGCTCGTTCCATGGCCTAGCCGTTTATCCGCCTCCTAACCTCTTAAAATGTTCTCTCCACCCTCCACTGCTCTACGCCCACCATGCACCCTCCATGCGCCCTCGCTCCCACCAGGTACCACTCCTAGATCCGCCCGTCGCCGATGAAGCTCATTAGGGCTTGTGCCATCCAGCCCCTCCAAGCCGTGTGCCACGTCCCCTCCAAGCCGTGTGCCACGTCCCCTCCAAGCCGTGTGCCACGTCCCCTCCAAGCCGTGTGCCACGTCCCCTCCAAGCCGTGTGCCACGTCCCCTCCAAGCCGTGTGCCACGTCCCCTCCAAGCCGTGTGCCACGTCCCCTCCAAGCCGTGTGCCACGTCCCCTCCAAGCCGTGTGCCACGTCCCCTCCAAGCCGTGTGCCACGTCCCCTCCAAGCCGTGTGCCACGTCCCCTCCAAGCCGTGTGCCACGTCCCCTCCAAGCCGTGTGCCACGTCCCCTCCAAGCCGTGTGCCACGTCCCCTCCAAGCCGTGTGCCACGTCCCCTCTTTCCCTTCTCTCCACCTTGCACCCTGACTCGTGTGCCCTCTCTCCCACCAGGTACCGCTCCAAGATCCGCTTGTCGCTGCTGAAGCTGGTTCGCTGGCCGGGCGAGAAGTGGTTCAACACCAACGGCATTAAGCCGCTGAGTCGAAGGGTGGCTGAGAATGGCAGCAGCAATGCTAACGGCACTGATAGCAGCAGCAGCAGCAGTGAGATTGCGTTTCTGCAGTACACATCGGGGTCAACGGCGGATCCCAAGGGCGTCATGATCACCCACACAAACATCGCCCACAACGTCATGTTCATCCGCAGGTGATTGTGGACGCGTCAAGGATGAGGAAGGATAGTGGTAATAGCAGCAGTACGGGGGAGAGAGAGAGGGAGATGTGATGGTCACCCACACCACATCAACATCACCCATAACGTCATGTTGATCCGGGGGTGAGTGCTGATGTAAATTTGCTTCAGTTTCAAAATGGAAATGCAGTTACATTGTACATGCCCCTTGTACCAGGGACTCATTATCTGCTCTTCAACACATTCCCCCTAAATTCTTCTTTTCTCCACAACCCCAAAAACAGTCCCTTCCACGTTCATGCTTTCTTCTTCCCGGCCCACATTCCCTTAAACAACACTCCCTCATACGTATAATATCCCCCCCCCCCCCTCAACTCCCTCCCCTCCCGCCCCCCCCCCCCCCCCCCCCCCCCGTCCCCTTCCGCCCCCCCTCCCCTTCTCCTATCAGGACCCTTCGCATGCATTCGGGCATTCGCTTCTTCAGCTGGCTGCCTCAGGTGATTCGTTCAACCCATATCCCTCCATCGATCATATACCCATCACTCCACCCAACCTCACGTTAATACACTGTCCACCCGCCATCCATATCTCTGGTGCCTGTGGCGTGGCAATGCCGAGAACTGTGGGCCCAGTGCTCAACACCACCAGCCCCTCGCATGCACGTGTCACCACGCTTGTTTATTTTTAATGCTGCTGCCTGTTTCTGTCGCCCTCCATGCCTCCCTTCTCCTCGCCCTCCATGCCTCCCTTCTCCTCGCCCTCCATGCCTCCCTTCTCCTCCCCCTCCATGCCTCCCTTCTCCTCGCCCTCCATGCCTCCCTTCTCCTCGCCCTCCATGCCTCCCTTCTCCTCGCCCTCCATGCCTCCCTTCTCCTCCCCCTCCATGCCTCCCTTCTCCTCGCCCTCCTTGTCTCCCTTCTCCTCGCCCTCCATGCCTCCCTTCTCCTCGCCCTCCATGCCTCCCTTCTCCTCGCCCTCCATGCCTCCCTTCTCCTCGCCCTCCATGCCTCCCTTCTCCTCGCCCTCCATGCCTCCCTTCTCCTCGCCCTCCATGCCTCCCTTCTCCTCCCCCTCCATGCCTCCCTTCTCCTCGCCCTCCATGCCTCCCTTCTCCTCGCCCTCCATGCCTCCCTTCTCCTCGCCCTCCATGCCTCCCTTCTCCTCCCCCTCCATGCCTCCCTTCTCCTCGCCCTCCATGCCTCCCTTCTCCTCGCCCTCCATGCCTCCCTTCTCCTCGCCCTCCATGCCTCCCTTCTCCTCGCCCTCCATGCCTCCCTTCTCCTCGCCCTCCATGCCTCCCTTCTCCTCGCCCTCCATGCCTCCCTTCTCCTCGCCCTCCATGCCTCCCTTCTCCTCCCCCTCCATGCCTCCCTTCTCCTCGCCCTCCATGCCTCCCTTCTCCTCGCCCTCCATGCCTCCCTTCTTCTCGCCCTCCATGCCTCCCTTCTCCTCCCCCTCCATGCCTCCCTTCTCCTCGCCCTCCATGCCTCCCTTCTCCTCGCCCTCCATGCCTCCCTTCTCGCCCTCCATGCCTCCCTTCTCCTCGCCCTCCATGCCTCCCTTCTCCTCGCCCTGCATGCCACCCTTCTCTTCCCCAACGTATGTCTCCCCATGGTACCACGACCTGGGCCTGATTGTGGCCTATCTCAACTCGCTCACAGCAGGTGGCAGTGGCATGTACATGTCTCCCATCCACCTGCATCCAGCGGCACCTCCTCTCCCCCCAAACTGAAACGATTTTCGTGGCGCCTGAAAAATCGTGTGCATGCCTCCCATCCACTTCCATCTAATGGTGCTCCCTCTTGCCCCCTCTGGCCTATCTCAGCATGGTCTACAGGTCTCCGATCGATTTCAACCCGAATAGTCCCCCTCCCCCCTTCCCCTTCCTCACCCCCCCTCCCCTACCTGAACAGTACCACGACCTGGGGCTGATTGTTGCCTATCTCAGTACCCTGACTGCTGGCGGCAGTGGTGTGTACATGTCGCCCATTGACTTCATTCAACGCCCCGCCTCCTGGCTGCAGTGGATGAGCCGCCTCAAGGTGAGGGCGTGAGGGTGCGCATGTGGATGAAGTATGACGGCAGGGGAGACTTGAGGGCGGGGGGGTTGTGCAGCGGTGTGTACGTGTCGCCCACTGACTTCATTCAACACCCCGCCTCCTGGCTGCAGTGGATGGGCTGACATAAGGTACAAAATCAACTGGATCAGCCAGTAGTCAGCCGAGGGGGCCGAAAGTGAGCGGAGGGAGCCAAGTGATTTTATCATTTATCCCTTTCCTCTTTTTCCCTCTTTTTCTCTCTCCTCGTTTCAATTCACGCTCCCTTTCCTCCTCCTCCTCCCCGCTCCTCCCCCCCCTCCCCCACCCATCAGATCACGCACACAGCGGCGCCCAACTTTGCTCTCAACCTGGCAACTCGCAAGTTCTCCACAGCTAGAGACGCCTCCCTGCCCGCCCCCTTCCTCTCCGCCTCCCTCCCGCCCTCCTCCTTCCCCACCTCCCCGGACCCATCTGCATCCCTCCCCACCGCACTGGACCTCTCGTCGCTGGAGTGTTTCCTGAACGCGGCAGAGCCTGTCCGTCCAGAGGCAATAGAGCGGTGGAATGCGGTGCTGGGGCGCTATGGCTGGGAGGCGTGTGGCATGTGCCCGTGCTACGGTCTTGCAGAGCATGTTGTGGGCGTCTCAGGCTGGGGAAGCAAGGTACGTGTGTGCAAGGCTGGGAAAGAGTATCTCCTGCAAGGTCAGCCGTTTGACTGCTTCCTCTCTGCACCACAGCCAGTGCGTCCGGTCTGGAGGCCATTCACAAGCCTCGGTGGCGCTACCCTGAAGATGTCAATGTCCTTTTGAAGGAATCCCCACCACCTTTCTCTCCGCTCTTCTCGTCCCCAGACATCAATCTATGCACAGCAGCGGCCACCTCGCCACACCTGCCCTGTGGGCGACTTTCAATAAAACCCCCCACGCCCCCCCGCCCCCAATCCCCCCCCCTCCCCCCTTTACATCAACCCCAGGTGCTTCATCTCCCAGACATCACTCTGCACAGCAGCGGCCATCTAGCCACCTACCCTCTCGATGGTCGCATCGCCATAGTCAACCCCGAGACCAGGGAGGAGTGCACGGAGGGGGAGGAGGGGGAGATCTGGGCCCGCAGCTGCCACGTGGCGCGTGGCTACTGGGGCAAGCCTGAGCTGTCAGAGGAGGTGGGCAAGCCGTTTAGGGTGCCATCAGAGGCTTGTGTCCTCTGGCTGTCCTTCCTTTCCACTCGTGCCATATTCCCCCTACTATCTCCACTCGTGTTTGAATCTAGGTGACAGTGGTGTGTCTCTTGTCTTTCCACATGGTGATTTGGGTGTCTATCTCCCTCCCTCGCGCAGACGGGCTCTCTCCTCGTCCCTCTCTCTGTTTCTCGCACATGAAAAGGCTCCAGGCTCAGCGGACTGTGCCTATCTGCCTCTGGTGGTCTGGGGCTTGTGATCGACCAGCAGCTGGTTGTAGCGTTCTCAAGAGCACTCCTCTCCTTCTACTCCCCCCCTCCCAGACCTTCCGTGCGCGCATGGAGGAGGGAGCTGCAGGGTCGGACAATGGTGCCTGTCTGCCTCTGGTGGCCGGGCTTGTGATCGACCAGCAGTTGGTTGTAGCGCTCTCAACAGCACTCCATCTTCCCCCCCTCGTTTTGAGGCGCCTCAAAACTAGACTCCTCCTTCCCCCCCTCTCCCAGACCTTTCGTGCGCGCATGAAGGAGGGAGCGCCAGGCTCGGACACCGGGGCGTATCTGCGCACGGGGGATCTAGGGCTCGTTATAGACCAGCAGCTGTTTATAACGGGGCGGATTAAAGACCTCATTATAGTGGGAGGGAAGAACTACTACCCTCAGGTATGTCAGTGCAATGGATGGTTTGGCCAATCGACAAGCCACCTATGTAGCGCACTCTCCACCCCACCCTGATTGATTGGACACGGCGCTGTCTCCAGCCTTTGGTCCCGGATCTTCCCTTCTGCACGGGGCATGCTTCTTACCCACCCTCCCTTTTCCCTCTGCCCCCCCCCCGTTCACCCTCGCTGCTGCTCTTTTACGTGGCAGGACATCGAGCTCACTGTGGAGTCTGTCTCCGACAGCATTCGCCCCGGCTGCTGTGCTGCCTTCAGTGTGAACAAGACAAGCCACACACAGGGGGCAAGCAGCAATGGAGAGGGAGAGAAGGGGGAGAAGGGGGAGGGAGAGCAGGGAGAGGAGGAGGAGGTGGTGGCAGTGGTGGTCGAGGTGAAGGCAGTGGCAAAGGAGGGGTGGTGGAAGGGAGGGGGAGGAGGGGGGGGAGTGGAGGGGGGATTGACAAAGCAGCAGATGAATGAGTTGGCTGGGGAGATTCGCAGTGCCGTGGTGAGGGCGCATGGCGTTGCGCCTGCTATTGTGGCTATCATCCTCCCCCGCACGGTGAGTGCATACTGTGCGAGCGGTGTGTGAATTGAACTTGCCCTTGCCCCCACCCTGCTCTCGTCTCTTCTCCCCTCCCCCTTCTGCCCCCTCCATCATTTCATCCTCCTCTCCCCCCCCCCCCTTCCTTTCCTGCCTTCACGCATTCCTTAACCTCTCAAGTACTCGCTCTCGCTCTCTCTTTCTCTATCACCTTTTTCTCGCCCTCAGATCCCCAAGACCACGAGTGGCAAGATTCGCCGCAAGGAAACGAGCCACCGACTCACTACAGGGGGTCTCACTGTGCTGAATAGTAACTCGCACATAGAGGGAGGAGCAGGGGAGACCATTGTAAGTGCCATAGACTACATTACTAAATACGGAATGCACACAAATAAAGGCAGCACTAAGAGGAATTTCAGTCGAGCCTCAGTAGTGTTCCTCCTCCCCCTCCTCTACCTCCTCCCTTCGTTCTTGTCTTTCTTTCCTGTCGAACCCGCACTCGATTTGTTAGGTCGCTCAGGTTGATTCCTCATCGTTTAACCTCTAATTGCTTCCATTTTACCCTCGCCCCTACCTTGCAGGAGAGTCTGCACTCCATGCCCGATGCTGCTGGGGCGAATGAAGTGGGTTCCTCCCTCTCCCTCCCTCTCCCAGCCATTAATTTCGGCCCCTTTTTCTCCTCTTCCCCATCTTTCAGGAGAGTCTGCACTCCATTCCCGATGCTGCTGGGGCGAACGGGGTGGGGGAGGAGGTGGTGATTGGAGAAGGGGAGGAGGGGAGCAGGGAGAGGATGCAGGGAAGCAGCAACGAGGGAAAAGCGGAGGAAGGGGAGGCAGGGGAGGAAGGGGAGGAAGGGGAGGAAGGGGAGGAAGGGGAGGAAGGAACAAAGAAAGTGGAGGGAGAAAGGAAGGTGGACGATGAAGCTGCCAAGGAAGCTGCTGAGGAAGCTGCCAGGGAAGCTGCCAAGGAACCTGTCGAAAGGGCAGAGGAAGGTGAAGTGGAGGGGCGGAAGGAGGCAGAGAGGGAGTCAGTGGTGACGTCAGAGGGAGCAGAAGGGTCGGAAGTTATGGCAGTAGAGGCAACAACAGTAGCAGGAGAGCGGGAAGTGGGCGGAGATGCTGCTGCTGGTGCTCCTGCTGCTGGTGCTGCTGCTGCTGATACTGATGAAGATGACACTGGCGTTGCCAAGTGGGATGGCATGAGTGCGGAATCGGCTGTGAAGGCAATCATGGGCATCCATGTGAGTGTGCCTCGTTCAAGCTTTTTTGCGTATCCTTCCTTTTGTCTAAGTGTCTGTCTAGAATACCCTGTTGACCGGTTTAAAATGTAATATTTCCTCCATTTCATTTCAATCGTCACCCTCATTGTCATCTCTCTGCCACTTGCTGCTCGCTGATTTCCTGCTTGCTTCCTCCCATGACCTGGCAATAGCAGGGGAGCCGTTGCTGGTTGAGATTGGGCTCGCCGCAAGGAACGGCATGGAGGTGCTTGACCTCATTGAGAGACTTTCTTATCGCATCCCCCCCCTCTGCTGCTTGCTTGTTCCCTGCTTCCCTGCTTGCTTGTTCCCTGCCTTCAATTCCAGGACCTGCCGATAGCAGGGGAGCCGCTCCTGGCTGACATTGGTCTCACGTCGATGAATGGCATGGAGGTGCTTGAGCTCCTGGAGCGGCGCTCTGGCCGCAGACTTGTAGTCGATGACATGGAGGTGAGATGGCATAAAAGTTAGCTCGTAGTGCATGACATGGAGGTGTGCGAGCTCATTGGGTGGCACACTGGACGCTGACTCATTGTAGAGTGCATGGAGGTGGACTGGCATGGAGATGATGTGGTATGATGACATCGTGGCATGACTCGATGGTAGCTTTTAATACTCGGGCTTTCTCCTCTCCTCAAACGCCCCCTCCCCCCACATTTCAGCGGCTTACCATTGGTCATCTGCGCCAGCTGGATCAGGGCATTCCTCTCCCAGACAACTTTGAGGTACAGTAACTTCATCCTTTTTAGGCAGTTACTTGCTTCCAGTATGGCTTTCTCCCTAGTCAAATAATCCTGTCTATTTCTGTGACGCTGGTTGGACGTGTCATTTTTCATGTTTGTTGATGCAGAGTGATGACGAGGATGAGGATGAGGAGGATGATTGAATAGATCAACGTGAAGAATTCGTTAGGTGATATGCGTAATTCTTCTCACAGTATCCATATTATGTACATGGCAAACTTTATGGGAAGCATCCATTCCATCCAGGGTTCTAAAGTCAGGCCAAAAAGGTCTGAATCTCAGAGTAACAGATTGCCTAGAATTATGGGGTACAAGGGAATATAACCTAAGGTGTTGTACTCTCTATGAACATGTTACATGCACCTATCTAGCCTACAAAATATACAAAATATATGCTGACATGTCACACCCCCTAGGCTAGACAAGGGGCACCGGCTAGCACAAGACACACATCTCAGGGTGGTACAACTATTCCAACCTCTGAAACAAAAGTACAAACTAGAGGATCTGAAGACCAGTCAGCAGCAAAAGTACAAACTTAACAAAAGTAACCCAGGGGGGACCACTATTAGTCCAACCACCGGAGCAGGAAACTGAAGGAAAGTCAAGGGAATATAAGACATCGTACGCAATCAAGATCCTAGCAAGTGAGAAGCTACATGAACTAGACCAAGCTATACACAGTCCCGCAGATGAACTTTAGGCGCAAGCGCCTTCATAAAGATATCAGCTGTGTTGGCACCGCAGGCCAAGTGTACTACGCGGGCCTGGCGACGCTGCTGTAGCTCGCGCAGGAGGAAGTACCGTAGCTGGATGTGCTTCGCTCTGCCCTCAAGTCGAGGCTCCTGACACAGGAGGATTATGGCCCTCTTGTCAGCGAACAGAACCGGGCAGAGCTAGGCCGCTCACCTAAGTCGGTGAGCAAAAAGGTCCTCCACGAAACATCTGTGTGCCCTGTAACGACCACTGACATGCGTCTTCCTAGCACTAGCCCCATGCCCGATGTACGCGCTAGATAACGCAAAACCCTCTTAACGGCCAACCAGTGCTGCGGTCAGTGTCTGCCTGTCGCCACAAAGCGAGCCAGGATGCTGAGAGGGTATGCGAGACCTGGGAGAATGCAAGTCATCTGGTACATGAAGCAACCCACCGGTTTTGCGCATGGACCACTAGGTTCTACAGACTCCTCACAGACTAGAGCTGAGAGCATGTCATCTACTGGCAAAGGTCTAGGCTGTGCAGAGGAGAACTGAAGACCGAATCTCTGAAGGACCTGGCGCACCAAGTGTGACTGTGTGAGAGTGATGGTGCGCGCTGCTCTGTCCCTGGAGATCTGCAGGCCAAGGTAGCGGCGAAGCTCTAATAGGTCAGTGCAAGTATGTCTCCTCAGCAGCTCGGCCTTCACGGAAGCCAGTGCGTCCATGTCTGCAATGACGAAGACCAGGTCGTCTGTGTAGATATAGAACGGCGTCTGGCCTGAACGAACAGTACCCCCAGGACTAGCACCCCCAGAACCAGCACCCCCACGATTGCCGGGGCAAGCCTCAATAGTACCCCCATGACTAGCACCTTTCTCAACGCCCGCACCCCCAGGGATCGCGGACCCCTGCGCCGGCTGCTGCTGCGACGGCGACGACGTCGGCTGCGGCTGCGGCGGCGACGGCGGCTGCTGCTGCGGCGGCGGAGGAGGGGACACGGGGGCGGGGACAGGCGGCCACACCAAAGCCGCGGGGCCCTTGGAGTCAGCCGACTCCTCCACTAAGACAACCGACGGGAGGGGAGTAACGTGAGACACACCAAACAGGGCAGGACGGGGAGGAAGAGGAGCAGGGGCTACCAAGGGAGTGGGGACTAGGAATATGGGCAGGGCAACCGTGAGACCTCGGTGGGGAAAGCATGTGTAGAAAGAGACAGACTCATCAAAAGTGACATTACGAGAGTGAAAGAAATGGTGAGACGGCGGGTGGTAAAAGTCAGACACTTCTAGGGGGGAACCAAGGAAGTCACAAGGTTACGGTGCGGGCACTGAGCTTGTCCGTGCCAGAGGTACGAACGTGAGCAAGGCAGCCCCAGACGTGGAAAGCAGACGCGTCGCCAAGGTACCCAGTCCAGAGAAGGGTCGGCGAAACCTGCGGCCGCTGGGAGTGTGGCCACAGGTTAAGCTGGTGAGCGGCGTAGCGAACAGCGAACGGCCACAGAAAATGGGGTGCATTGGCATGGATCATGGAGGTACGGGCCACCTCTATGACCAAACCGATGTGTCGCTCAGCGACCCCCTTCTGCTGTGGGGAGTCCAACAAGGTGTACGACTGGGTGATGCCCTCCGCACGACAGAACTGGCCAAGCCGACCGGAGGTAAACTCGCCACCACAGTTGTAGTAGAGACGCAGCATGGGGAGGCCGTGGTGGACTTGCGCAAGTATGACCTACGAGATAAGGGTGTCAGGCACATCGACCTTCCGCTCCAGGGGAAACACCGTGGTGTGGCGCGTAAAGTCGTCGACAAGCACTAGAAAGTAGCGCTCGCTAAGCGGCCCAGAGATAGGGGCGGGACCCAAAACGTCCAGGTGCATGGTCAGGAGTTGCGCAGTGGTAGGGGGAAGCGAGGAGGAGTAAGGAGCATGGAGTAACCGGCCCTCGACGCGGTGGCGCAGACGAGGGAGGGAGGGCAGGGAGCGATATAGGGACACCACGGACTAGCCCGAACATGTGGTGCAAACGCGGGAGAGCGGGGTGACCTAGGCGGTGGTGCCACAGCAGTAAAGGGTGGGTGAGCGACCGACATGAGCAGGTTGCACCTACCCTGAGAGGACGCAGCGTTCTTGGGGGACGCTCCGACTTGGAGGGACGCAGTATCAAGCGTGAACAGGCCAGATACGTGGTCTCAGGGGAACGTGGTAAGAGGGGTACAAGTGGCGGCCTCAGTACAGACGGCGTACCGCTCGTGTCCAGGGAACGTAATAGTGACGCCAATGTCCTGAAGACAGCCGACACCAACTAGGCTCCTGGAGAAGGAGAGGAATTGCAAGCCTATAAGAGAGCTCGAGGGGACCACCGGACAGGGAAGGATAGTGGAGCTACGAGCGACTACCAGACCTGAGGAGGGGTTAGCAAGCGCTACATCAGCAGGGGCGGCATGTGGCGTAAGCGAAGTGTGGTCGCGGAAGTAGCAGGCAGACGCTCCAGAGTCAAGCGTGAAAGAGAGCGAAGCAGTAGCAGCAGCTGGCGGAGGGGCTAGCGTAGAGCCTAAGCTAAACCAGGCAGAAGGTCCTACGCCTGACGCTGCAGGGGAACCTAGACTACACACAGGAGGCACACCTACACAAGGCAACACAGGGTAATAAGATCCGGTCACACTAGAGTCATCAGCATACATGGCATACATAGCAGTCCTAATCTGGTCCATTTCAAGCTTAATGAAAGGCACACGGCGGCGGGCCAGGGCGTACCAGTCAGGAGGGTCCGAGGTGGGACCAAAGCGGAGATGGTAGAGGTCGTCGAGGCGGCAATGGCAGCAGGCGACGGTGTGACCTGGACGGTCGCAGATGGTGCCGCGGCGGGGGCCGGACTGAAGCTAGTATTGGCAGGTGGCCACACTGGAGCCGCCACCTGACACCGAGCTGCGTGGGGCACCACCACGACCTCCACCACCAGCGCCACCAGGCCACCACAGCAGCGAGGGTCCCCACGGCGGCTGCTGCTGCAGCTGCGACTGCTGCTGCAGCTGCAACTGCTACTGCTGAGGCTGCTACTGCTGATGCTGCTGCTGCTCTGGGGCACCAGCCCCGGTCCCCTCGTCTGCACCACCATCCCCGCCCCCACCTCAACCACCACAACCACCCCCACCACCCTTCCCTCCACCCCGCCCCCCCTTGGGGCGGCGGCCCCTACTCTGAGGCTGTTGCGCTGAGGCCGCGACGGCGATCTCGACAGCAGGGGCTGTCTCAGCAACAGCGGCAGAAACGTCAGAGTAAGTGCACTGGGAGGGAGCACAGCCCTGGAAGATAGGGACCGGTGCAGTACTGCTCGACTGAGTGATTGCACCTGGGTGCTGGGCAGTGACAAAGGCAGTGAGGGTGACATCACCTGGGTGCTCACTAAGCACCTAGGCGGTCAGGCAAGCGCGTGGCAATGAGGTAAAGGGTAGCGCAGAGCGGTAGCGGAAAGGTAGCGAGTCTCGAGTGCGCGGTGGAGCGTGGCAAGGTCAGCGACTGTGGGGAAGGACGCAAGGTCAGGGAACAGCATGGGGAGGACCAGACGACCTGCAGAGGCTGAGGCGCGGGTGGAATAGCGCGCAATGACGACATCTAAGTAATCCTTGGCGTTCACTACAACGGTAAAGCGGGGACGCTCGTAAAGGGGGAGGGTGTGGCTTATGGCAAGCTGAGCAATGGCATCGCGCGAATCCCAGACTGCGCAGGCAAGCTCAGCAGCGACAAAAGCCTCACGCTCTGCAGACATGGGGGCATCAGGGAGGGCAGCAGGCGGGGCGGGGCGAGGGAGCTTACCGTTGACATGGAAGGCCAGGAAGTGGCCGTCCTGGCGCTGCCCGGTCTGTTGGCGGCAGAGGTCGACGAGCCACGCCTCAAACTGAACAGCCTGACCCTCAACATCCACGCGTAGCAGTGAGTCCGCCATCACCACGGCTGCAGCATCTAACTAGCGATGACAAGGGGAGGAGGGAAAATGGAGAAGGGCAGTGGACTGCGGTGGAGTGCGGTGAGGAGTAGTGGAGCGCGGTGGAGGACGGTGGAGTGCGGTGGAGTGCGGTAATGAGCGGTGGACTGCGGTTGAGAGCGGTGAAGTGCGGTAGAGACTGCCAGCGAGAGCGCTGGCTTAGAGGGGAAGCCAAGGCCGGCTGGCGGCGACGGCGGGCAGGCTGGCGGCAACGGGCAGCGGCTGGTGGCAGCTAGCGGCCAGCGGCGACGGACAATGGCTGGCGGCAGCGAGCAGCCAACGGAGACGAGCCGCTAGCGGCAGCGGCGGCTGGCGGCGATAGGCGGCCAGCTGCTACGGGCAGCTGGCAGCAGCGGGCAGCCAGCAGCAACGGGCGGCTTGCGGCGACGAGCGACCAGCGGCGACGGGCGGCTAGCGGCGACGGGCAGCCAGCGGCTATAGGCGGCCAGCGGCTTACGGCGGATTGGCGGCGACGGGCGGCCAGTTGCAACAGGCGGCCAGCGGGCTACGGGTGACGGGCGGCCAGAGGGCTACGGGCGACAGGCGGCCAGCGGGGTACGGGCGACGGGCGTCCAGCGGGCTACGGGAGATGGGGGCCAGCGGGCTACGGGCAACGGGCGGCCAGCGGGCTACGAGCAACGGGGGCTGGCGGGCGATGGGGGCCAGCGGGCGATGAGCGGCTGTTGGCTACGACGGTCACTTAGGAACAGGCGTCTAGCGACGGGCGGCGCGGGCTAAGGCTAGGACTAGGGCGGAAGCGCGGGTGGGCCAGATCCTAACCTACTAGCGTTATACCATCTCAGAGTAACACATTGACTAGAATGATGAGGTACAAGGGAATATAACCTAAGGTATTGTACTTTTTATAAGCATGCACCTATGTAGCCTATAACATATACAAAATATATGCTGACATTGAAAACTTGTATATCATAGTAGTTTTTAGGGCATACCCTGATTTTCCAGGTTTTGATTTTTATCAAACATGAAATTTATGTGTTCCCATTTTCGAAAGCCTGAAAAATAGTATGTTCTTGTTTTACTGAGCCTGACGAATCAGCCTTACTCGAAATTCGCCCTGAAACTGAATCTTATCAGCCAAGGAGAGCTAGAGCACGTGTGAGGGGCGTGATTGGTCCTTGATCAGAATCACGCAATTTCGAGGCGAGCTGGAGCATGTGTGAGGGGTGTGATTGGTCCTTGCCAGTATCATGCACGTTCAAGGCGAGCTGGAGCAGGTGTGAGGGGCGTGACTAGTCGACCAGAATCACACAAGTTCGAGGCGAGCTGGAGCAGGTGTGAGGGGCGTGACTAGGACCAGAATCACTCAAGTTCGAGGTGAGCTGGAGCAGGTGTGAGGGTTTGACTGGTAAATCACGTAGGTACTCTGAGGAGAATTGTATGCAGTGAATATCAAAAACTAGAAACTAGGACGCCATGAAAGTGGCGTGAGGTTTTAGGAGCTAGGAGCACTAGGAGAGGGAGATTTGTCGAGAGAAAAGGGAGCTAGAAAAGAAGAGAGAGAGATACAAGGGGGGTGTTGTACCCTCTACAGTAATGTTAAGTAACGTCTATCAAGCCTACAATTATATACTAACATATATAATTTAATACACCCCCTAGGCTTGGTAGCACAAGGACCCACACACCCCCACACCCCCTAACCCAGCACCCCCGTTCCCAGGAGCCACGACTACTCCAGCAGGGCCAACCCCAAGGCCCTGGAGATGGAGACGGCGGCAGTCCCGGCAGCGGCTACAGCGACGGCGATGACGGGCGTGCGGCGGCAGCAGGCCTGCGGCGACGACAGCGGCGACGGCGACGGCTTCGGCTTACGACGGCAGTAACGGCAGCGGCCCCCGCCCTTCCGGCGGAGTGTCCATACTCCGCGACAGGGGGACGACCGGCGAGAGTCAGGCGACGGCTATGGCGAAGAGGAGGGGACGGAGGGAAGGGGGAAGGGGCGGGGCTTCGGATCTTTAGCGCGACGCCATTGCAGGCGCGGCGCTTACTGGCGTGCGGGCGGACTGCAATTCCAGCAGCGACGCAGGTCGTGCGCAAAGGAGACAGGCCGATGTCACAGCCGCGGCACCATGACGACGCCACCACAGCGTGGCGTCGGGGCCGCGGCTGCTCGTCGACGCTGGGACGACAGCACACAAAGGCCGCCGCGACATCTTGGAAAAGGTGCCACGGCGGCAGGCAGTAGGAAGGCCGCGACGGCGGCGAACAGGGAACGAGAACGCAGCGGAAGCGAGGAGCGGAGCAGGCCCAGGACGGGCGTCCTGCTCTGATACCATGTCAAGAACTAGAAACTAGGACGCCATGAAAGTGGCGTGAGGTTTTAGGAGCTAGGAGCACTAGGAGAGGGAGATTTGACAAGAGAAAAGGGAGCTAGAAACGAAGAGAGAGAGAGAGACACAAGGGGGGGGGGTTGTACCCTCTACAGTAATTTTCAGTAACGTCTACCAAGCCTACAATTATATACTAACATATATGATTTAACAGTGAAGTCCGATCCGATTTAAGAATCAGAAACTACAACAAACGTAGGCTTGATTAATCAGACTTAAAAAACAAAATGGCCTTATAAATATGCCACGCCCAAAACCCGACCCTGAAAAACATGGGTTATCACATGTTCGACTATGAGCAATCAGCCTCCCTAAAACCAATCAGAGGGCCTGATTACATCTATATTCCATGTGTGTATTTTGTATGGTTATACTATTGCTGCAGAAATATGTATGACATACAGCACAGTGATGTGTTCCCTAAATCTTCTCGTTGATTCGTAACGCGTCTTCTCTTGAACGTCAGTGAACCGTTGATCGGAATCCGTCACAATCACAACGGCCAGATATTGCCCCCGCGCTCACCACTGCCCTGCAGCACCTCTTCCCGAGCTCCCTCCCCAAGACATGACCGCGTGGCCAAGGCCCGAATCGAAGCGGGGCCGAAGGGCTAAACGGGGCGGAATTGGCGAAACAGGGCGAACGGGCGAAAAGGGGCGGAGCGAATCGCCGCGCAGAACCTTCCATCGCGCCCCTTGGGTGTACGTTACCCAGCTTTTTTTCCGCGGCTTGCGAATTTGGCCTTGTGAAGGGGCGTTGGCCATGGCGACTTCTTCCTTCCACCTCAGTTTTGAAGATGATTAATTCATGCCGTTAGGCTGATCCTGCACGTGTTTCTGGAACTTTCACCTGGCAGCTAGTCTTATTGCCGGAGTTATTTCTCAGAGGTCTTCCTTTTAGGTTTGGCCATGCTCTCGCTGATTGTAGCGTTTTCCAAACGTCCAGCTCTTTTGTGACTCGACGTGCAGAATCATCTGCAGACTTAGGTAGGACTCGACTCTTAGGCACTTAGAATTCGGAAGGCTATCCAACGACGACCATCTGCAGGTTAGAGCTGCGGTCTCATATTTCCAAGCCTATTTGCAGGGGAGTCACGAAGCCAGTTTTCCGTAGCCATGGCGGCAGCCATTCCTACTCGATGTCCGATGCTCCGCCATCACCGTTTCGAATAATCATTTGCTCATTTGTACAGCGCCTTGAACTGATCGATTCGCACCAATTAGCTGACCCAATTTGACCGACTCGCACCTTCACTGCCACCAACCGCTTTTCCCCGAAGTCCGAGCAACTAGCGACCAAGGCCAGGAGCAGTTCCTCACGATGGCGTTCCTCACGGTTCAGGAGTCGCTAACTTGGGCCATCTTGTTCTGGATGGTGGCATTTCTCGTCTCAGCAGCGCTAGTAGGGATCGTCATGTACATGGTGCGTCTCGTTGAAATTGCAACTTATAGGTTAAGTCGCGGGGAAGAGGCACTGGGAAGGGGGACTGGGAAAGTGGTTGGGGGGTTTAAGAAGTTCGGTTGTACGTTCCGTAGCACTAGAAAGCATCGCGCTGTACACATGTTCCTGAATGTGGCTTGCTCTCCTTCCGCGCATGACCTCAAGTTGTCTCTAACTAGGGATTAAGTCGTTACTAGCGTCTAGCGCATAACCCCTGGAGGTCAGCTGGTTTTCGAGCAGAGATGTGTTTCCGGATCTTCATCCACCACCTAATGCAGCGCATCCTCCGTAAAACAATCTGGTTTCATATCCAAAGACTTCCACGAAATCCTTCAATCTGCCACCATACCCTGCAGTTCATCTGCGTATCGGATCTCTCATTCTCATTGCGGATTCCCTCCATAAAACCCTTCCTTCCGACACCATACCCTGCAGCTCATCTGCATATCGGATCTTGAGAACGACTTCATCAACCCTCATGACGCCGCCAGAAGAGTCAACGGCTTCGTCTTCCCCGAGATCTCCCTCCATTCCGGCCTCACCGTCGTCTTCGCCCTCACCGGCCACTGGCTCATGTTCCTCATCAACCTCCCTCTCGCCCTCTACCACGTGCACCTGTAAGTGGCGCCATGACTTCATGCATAATGCAGAGATAACTGTATCTTCTACCAGCAAGTTCAGCTCTTCTCCTCTCTAAAACATCACCATCACCCGCAATTTGCATCCTGTGTTGCTTTTGTTCTCCACACAGATACATCCGGAAAGAGCACATGGTGGATGTGACAGAAGTCTTCAACCAAATAAGCGTCCAAAGAAGACGGCAACTAATCAGATTCGTCATCTACCTGACGCTGATGATCGCCACAATTTTCAGGTCAGTCGTTACATGAACATAGGTACATACAACATTCAGTTATGTTCCTTCCATAGCCATCACATTCAACTCTCTGGCCCCCTTTCACTATCCCGCCTTGCTCTTCCTGGAAAATGACGCCAACCCGTTTCGCAGTTCTTCCAGATTCTTTAATAACGTTTCTTGACCCTCTCCCCTTCTCAACAATGCTGTTGTCATCAGCTCATGGTTTCTGTCTTGGAGGGGAGCTTTGCATGTTACACGATACTCACTCCGTTCCCTGTTTTACTGGTCTCCCCCAACAGGATGGTGGAGCGTGGTGTGACGGCAGTGATGGAGAGCCATGGGGGTGCCATCCATGCCAAGGTTCTAGGGAACGTGGCAGGACTCTCCAACATGTCGACTATGTAGACAGCAGGCGCCGGAAGGGGAATCATTCATTTGACAGGCACATACCGTACATGGACGAAGGTTCTGTACAGAATACCTGTGTAACAGGCATATAGAAAGGTTGCCGAATGTGCTACTATGCGGAGACTTAATCCTGAGCTAGGTAGGTGTCAGAAGTTGTGCTAACTTCCCGTGTTAGCAACTAGGAACTCATGGGCTAGTGGAAATAGCGAGCGTTGCTATGCTCACTCCTTAGGTGTGACAATAGTCACGGTATACTACTATTAACATGCCCCAATGGATTCTCAACCACCAGATTTCACCTTGTAAAGCTGGACACTGGCGAAAACTATTCTTCATTTTATTGGCGTAATAAATTCTGTATAGATACGAATAATCAAGACAACTCAGTCAAAATTGGATGGTGGGCCCCATGAGGCAAAACTCTCCGATATATGCACAAGAGCTTAGGAAGAAATCTCCACAGCTGCAGCACGTTATACGTCAGGCGCTCTCAAAGCATTTGACTGCTCAAAATCCACGTGCTGCCCTCAAACCTCTCCTGACGCAGACTCGCAAGCCGCTGCTCTGTAAGCGACTGCAGCAGCTGCAGCTGCATCAATGTGCCCTGGCCCTCGAGCATGGCTGTGTGACATGCTGCTGTTGGCATCACTGGCTGTGTGACCCAGGGAGGCTGGAAGCGGGTGAAACTTGAGGTACATCTCTGTGAGCCTCTCCTTGGCCTCGCTGAGGATGAAGACGGCGAATGTCACTCGCTGGGCTCGAGGGATGATTCCTCTGAACAGGGTCTTGCTGCCTCCTTCTCTCCACATGCGTGCAAATGTGCCGCTCATAGACCTGGGGGAAGTGAGGAGGAAGGGCTACAAAAGAATGAGAAAGCTGTCAACATTAACTCGACCGACGCATAACAAGTTAGCAAGCTAAGCATTCCATACCTGAAGTTGGGATCTGCGAGATTGGCCTGCATGCGCGTCTTGACGGTGTCAAACGGCTGCGTGAGCACCGCTGCTCCCACTCCCGCTAGCACCGACGCCGTCGCCATTGCCGCGACGGGCCTCTCCGCGAACACCGGCCACGCCTTCTCCATGTGCTCCGTCATCACAGGGATCACCCCAAGGTACGCTCCGGTGAAGATCGCTTCTCTCACTACCGCAGGATTCTGCGGAGAGATAAAGCAGGGGTTGGGATGATAAAGATGAGGGAATAAATGATGGTGAGCAACCAGCTTCTACTTATTGTCCATAACCATGGTGGTGAAAACGTCCAATCTCTGTGAGTGAAAACGTCCAATCTGTGTGAGTGAAGCGCGACTGGAGCAACGAAAGCCTTTCGACGGAGGTACTAAAAACGCTGCATCGTGCCTATTTACCAATCTGATCCGCGACGATCTAATCGTACAAATCGCCACGGCGTGCGCATTTAAGACAAAGGTCCCATCGTTTCGAGTCAGCATCCGTACCCAGCCCCAGCTCAGCTGAGATTGCCTTACCGTTCCTCTAGCGAGGGCGAAGACGCCGTGCTCCCCAACGACATCCCGTAGTCTAGAGCCCAGCGATCCTCCCCACTTCTGCTGCTGGATCATCAGCAGCTCCGCCGGTCCCGTTATAATCCCAGACAGCGCACCCGCCGCCGTCGCCGCTCCCGTCCGGGTGGTGTCGTTCAGCTGACCCCTCGCCGCTAGCCACTCTTCTAGATAAGTGTTCGCGCCGAACTGGAATCCGTTGATTGGCGCGATGGACGCCGCGTTAACGGCGACTCCGCGGTACAGCAATCTGGGGTGCAGCGGGACTGGTCTCATATCTTGGACGGCGTTTTTCCACGTCACCAGCGGCTGCTGCAGCAGCACCTCTATGACGCCTGCCAGCCCTCCGATGGCTGTTGACGTCACTGGGGATATCGCCAGATCCTCTTCCAACCCCATCTGCGCAGATCTTAATCAGTAGAATGGATGTCGAGGGGGGGATTCTTTGTATTAGAGATAATGGATCTGGTTCGGAAAACGCTGGTTGTGATGTCACAGGAAGCAGTCGCACGAGGCGTTAGACGGAGTTAGTAGCTAAACTCGAGGCTGATGGAATGACAAGGCCCTGAGGGTCTGTTATATGCCAGTCAAGGAGGTTGCTCGCGGGTCTGGGGATGTACGCGCGAGCTGAGCAGTGAAGGGAATGAACAGACGACTCCATAAACGGGTGGAGTCGGAGTTCCCGCCGCGGTGTGAACTGCTAAGGCACAAGGAATGTACCCAAGCCCAAATTCGTGAATTTGGATGCGGATAGGTTTGAGCGGATCTTTCTTATCTAAACGTGCTCAATTTAGAGCCACGTGGGAAGAACAGAGAACTAAACAAGTACTTTGAGAAAGAGCCCTCGGGAGATCGAACCAGGTCCTTGAAATTGACCCGTGTCCAACTGCGGCATGCTTCTCGAAGGTCGTGTAGACTGCCACATGGACAATACGGGTGGTTGGCTGTACGCGAGGATGAAGCGAGAACTTCTGCGCGGCACAAGCACTGTTGGCACCTGACACCTGCCTACGTTGCGGTTTGGCCGTCATTGACCACTAGGGAAGAGGTGTCTCCACGTGGCGACAAGCGACTGCTAGATAAGTTCCCGTGAAAGTGGACGTGCCCCACACCTCAATGATGTGTCAACGTGTCGGTTCGCACGCTTGTTAGCTTGACCTTTCGGGCTGCGTGGAGCTCTCGAGCTATTTGTTCCACTCCTCGAGATCAGGGCTTACCTAGAGTAATTTCTGCACCTCGGGTCTGACCCGAGGCTGACCCGCGGTCGAAGGAGCCGCGGGGTTTAGAGGCTCAACCTTGGATCTAGTGACTTTGACGGTCGTGCGCCTATAGAGGTGCAGAAAGTCGCAAAACGATTTGACGCTGTACAGAAAACCGCGCAGAGTTGTCGCAAACGCGATTTGGGTGTACATTGGCGGGCGATGCACTTGCGCCACTTCTATTCCGGTAGGTTTGTCTGCGAACGGTGTGTTTCCAGTCAAGCAGCCGTCAGGAGTCGTAAGCCCTGAACAGTTTTTTCCACCTCGGGTGTTCCCGTATGACACTCGTGTCAGACTCGAGCTCCAGAATTTTCGTCCGCAAGGCAGATCCGGGTATCTCTTTCGTGGGACCCGGATAACGGGTGTATGTGGAACGCTAGTCGTCGACATCCGGGTACGAAACAAATGGCACTTCAGTCCTGGGATTTTTCCGTGATAACAAACGCTCTAACGAAAAATTCCTTGGCTCTACGAAGGGAACCACGTAAGAGTACTCCTCTCCGCTCTTATTGTTCTTATCTCTGGAACTTTGTTGCTGGGCTGATTTGCCCTGGGGAGAGGGAATGGGAGGGGGGCTCGGCGGGAGGGGTGGTGTGAGTAGTTTTAGTATCCGTGTTTGCCAAAACCTAACACGTCACTTCACGGGCTCTGGTCGAAATACTGTATACCCATGAGAATCCGGGCTCATGAAAATCGAACACGTCGCAATCCGATTTCGGTCAAAGACTAGCCGTTATTTGGTCAAAATCCGGATAGTTACCCGTGAAAAATAAGCCCTGCTCGAGATCCTGGCCATCTCAACAACAAATTTGAGCCTACGTAAGTGTCCGCCTCAAGAGCATACCCTTTAGTATTAGATTATTGGGAAAACTGCTTTTCCTGCGTAAGAGAAGTTTGTATAATAATGTAACAGCTTTCGTGTTACCCACACAAACTCCTGAATTCGCTGGCTGCCGCACTTTTCAGCCAAACCTCCAGATTCACCTGGACCACCTGCCCAGAAATCTGGCGACCAGGTTGCAACCTAACCAAGCCCATCTTTCTGACGGTAGGGCGCCGCTTCAGCCGTGGATTTCGTTCGCATCCATCCATGGACGGATGGACACACTGCTCCCGTCGGCTCGGCTGACTGCGTGAGGGCGCCGTCAAAGGCAGGGGCTGTCCCTCTCGCTGCGCGGCTGGCTGTTGGAGCCTAGGGAAAGGCAACTGTCCTGACGACATGATGCGACACGACACAAGGAACGGAAACCGAAACAGGACAGGTTGCGGGTAGGCCCTAGATACAAATACACCTCTAGAAGACGAGGCTACTATTGAAATCTTTTGGGAAGAGCTCGATCGCTGGTACTGCGCAGCGCAGATCTGGACTCTGTTTTGTCGCTTTTTTTGTCGTCGACACAATGGAGCGCGAGGCTTTGAGCACCAGTTTCCGCAGTTTAGGAAGTTTGTCGCCGCGTGTCCTCGTCACCCTGGTCGCACTGCTCGCTGTCGCAAGCGTCGCCTGCGACGCGGAGGGTCCGCGTGATGCCGAAAATCCTGCCCCTGCGATCGTCGCAGAACAGAGCCGGGCGACCGTTGGACGCGGGCGATTGCTCGCGAGCTCGGCAAAAGATTGGAGCGCGACGAGCGTAGTCAGTCGGCGACGGTTAGACTCGAGGAGCAGCGTGAACGGGCTGCAGAAGGTGGACCTTGCGCGGCAAGGACGGTCGAATAAGAAGAAGAACAAGCAGCAGAGGCAAGCGCGGAGGGAAGAGGGCGATGAAATGACGTTCGCTGGATCGAGCAGCGTGAAGAAGCAGGAGAAGAAGCCGAAGACGATAGTGAAGAAGCAGAAAGGGCAGCGAACGGAGGGTGAGTCAGGGGACATTAGTACGGCAGCGAAGAAGGGGAAGAAGGGAGAGAAGGGGAAGAAGGGAGAGAAGGGGAAGAAGGGAGAGAAGGGGAAGAACGAGAAGAAGGGGACGAAGCAGGCGAGGCGCGGGTCAACTAAGAACGAGGAAGACGGATTTGTTTCTTCGGATAAGAAGGTATCGCGGACGAAAGGCAACTGGCGTTTTGACGATCATCGTCATGATGACGATGACGATAACGACCATGATGGTAACGACCATGATGGTGACCGTGACGGCCATGACAGCGACGACGACGACTGTCACCGTTTCCCCTCTCCCCCGCCCCCCGCACCTCCCTCCGCTCCTCCACCTTCCGGCTCTCCCCCTGGCGCTGGAGGCGCGACAAAGTTCAGCTGCCCGCCCACCTCCGATATGTGCTCCTTCGTTTTCGAAGGCTACGAATCCGACCTCCCTACAATCACCCTCCCCGCTCTTAGCACTTCCACTGTATCCAAGCAGGCGTTTCGTCCCAAGACAGCGTACGACCAGAACCTGGAACCGGGTACACTCGTCGCCCTCGTACGCGGGTCACCTCTGGACCTATCCGAAACGGTGGCTGACATCTCGCGGATCATGTGCCTGGGCGGGAAGAAGAAGAACGCGACACTCCCAAGGTTTGCGTTCAAGCTGACGCCAGACGGCCACCTGAGATACGATGACACGCGTGTGGATGGTGACGTGGCATGGCTGGCAGCCGCCCGGACAGCGGACGGCGCCGTGGTGAGGCTGAGGATGCGGTCGGTCACTGTAGACGCGTATGGGATGCCCATACACGTGAAGGGAAACAGCCAAAGAGCAAATTTTCAGAGCAAGAGAAACTGTGTGCTGTTTAGAGTGAAGCTCGTGGGTGCTGCTACGATGAAGAAGCCAAAGTGACCCTGAGGGGAGTTTGGGAGGGGAAGGTGCAGTAGCTTCATCAACATGGTTGGTTGAGGGGACTTCAGTTAGGCTGAGGAAATAAGGAATGGATGGACGCAGCATAATTGACTTATTGGAACCTAAGGAAATGCCCAGACTGAGGAAGAAAAGTTACCAGTAGGATGCGAAGAGGTTGGCTTATTGTTGGCGGTAATGTGGAGTTTGAATAATAGGATCTTATGGCTGTTCGCTGCAGATTGATGGAACTAACTACACGAGGACCGGGTATCCTTTATGCTTATACCGGATGACTATCCACCAGGTAAAACCTGACAAAGTGCCACCTCACTTACAGGCCTTTGATTTGTTACTTTTCCACGTGAACCTCCACGCTGAGCGATTGCGTCCTTCAGGCTATAAAATTAACCAATCATGGGCGTCATAACAATATCCTGGTGGCGATCTGCGCTTCGGCAACGAGCCTCACACAGTACGGTTTGCTTGCTTCCGTGCCGAGCCGAAGCGCTTGATCTGGTTGCGCGCCACAAACCTGTCGGGAGAGCCACCTCCCGTGGCAAACCTAGTACACGCAATCTCCGAGCCGAATCTCCAAGCCTGGCTCATGCCGCATCACAATGAGCCAAATCGGGCAGCAGCTATGGTTTATGTATCTTCCCAGATTTCCAAACCATAGCAAGATGAAGCAGAAAAACTGTTTGAACTGCCTTGTCTTCGGCCCGAGCTAAGGGAAGTGCGAAAATTGTTGAGAAGGCCTGACCTGACAGAACCAAACAGGTCTGCAGACCCATCAGAAAACAGCAGCTGAAACAGCATCTTCATCGTTGGATTACAATAGACAACGATTCAACGGTCCTTATATCTCCTCGAAGCCTGCCCATGCCTCCCCCCCAGCTCCGTACCTCGCTCCATGCCTCCATCTGTCCCATTCCCGCCACCGTTTCCCCACCGGGCTGTTTGTCAGAGGCTGTTGTCTCTCCCCGCCTCTCCTCCCTCCCTCTCTCGTTCCTGCTCGTCACCCAAAGCAAGGAGAGAGGAACCAGTCAACATCCCCCATACCAACCAGCCACCCAGCAAAACGCTGACTTACAGCTGCTGTCACTCCTGCTTCGGTCCTCCATCTCTTTTGCTTCCCTCCCCCAGCTGGAGTGCACCCACTAGCAGCAGCAGCATTAGCGGCTAATCCCTAAAGTCCCGCTTTCGTGACCTCGCACGAGATCGCTCCGTGGTAATTCGGTGCGCTATCCCCTAAGCTCCCTGCGATCGCGTACTTTCACACGCATCGCCAGTTATGGCGGTCAAGGCGGTAGCCGCAGCACTAACTGTGATACCCCACACGACCCTCCACTACGGAACAAGAACTCGCCGTTTTTCCACAGTCTTCAACCCTCGCGCAGCCTCCTCCCGCCAGCCATGCGGCCAACGCGCGGACTCCTTGCTCTCCGCCGCCCGCCGATTGCGCGCACAAGCCTCACAAACCCCGCGGGCCTCCGTTGCTCGATCGCGCCTTTCTGCAGCAGCAGAAGGGGGCGGAGGTAAGCGCGATCTCGCGCGCTTCGCTCCAGCCGCCGCCGGCAGCGCAATGTCGTCGGAGATCTCCGCAGATTCTGCGGACGGCGCGGTAGCCGCGGCTCACGGCAGCGCGAGCGCCTCGCAGCAAAACGCGGAAAATCAGAACGCGGAGGAGTGCGCGGCGGTGCTGGCGCAGCTGAACCGGTCGGCGGACAGCCTTCCCGCGGACCTGGCGGACGCGGTTGCGCGCGGGCGCGTTCCCGGGGAGGTGGTGGAGCGATACGCGGAGATGGAGAACACGATGCTCCTGGGTTACCTGCTGCGCTTCGGCGGGTTCAAAGAGAGACTACTGGCTGACGACCTGTTCATGACGAAAGTCGCGATCGAATGCGGCATCGGCATCTGCACCAAGGTACGAGTCACGAAGTCTTGCTTGATACAACGAGTGGTATAAACAATGTAACGCATCTGACATATAGCGGTTTAATCTAATATATGCAATGATTATATGAGGGATCGTGTAACCACTGATACGCGGAGATGGAAAACACACTGCTGCTGGGATACCTGCGGCGATTCGGCGGGTTCATGACGAAAGTTGCGATCGAATGCGGCATCGACATTTGCACCAAGGTACGAGGGGATTGCTTTGTGCGGTAAGTCGAACCGGCTCTGGGCACTTGCTCTAACCATTGAACTATCACAGGGAGGGGTTTGTCACAGGGCGGGGTTTGTCACTAATATAAGGTTTGGTTTGAGACGTCTCAAAACAAACCTTCTATCACGTGATTGTCACAGGGAGGGGTTTGTCACTAGTAGGTTGCAAGCGTGACGTTCCGATCGATTTGGTTACGACAGGTGGCAGTACGTCCCGCGAGGCGACTCCGAGTTGCGCTGCCGTCCTTTGATTCTCTTTCGCTGCGATCCCTTCCGCTCCCATCCCCGGTCTGCTCTTCTCTCTCCCCTTCCCCTTTCCCCTCCCCGGCAGACCTCGGCGGAGTGGGAGAGGAGACGAGCGGCGTTCTTCCCCGAGTTCGACTTCGTCATTGCTGACGTGGTGAGTAATTGCTGACGTAGTAAGCAACTGCTGACGTGGTAAGCAATGAGTGACGAACACTGAATTGACACAGAAATGTACAAGTTGGATCCTAACCCGTCTGCACAGCAGTTGTCCCCCATCCCTTTGCACCGCACTGCACCACTCCCCGCCACCATACCATGGCAATCATTGCCGACTGCATGCTCACGTGGCTGTTCTCCCCGGCCCTCCCACCCCTCTACACCGCATTCAACCAGTGTTATCGACCTCTCTGCACCGCACTCCACCACTCCCCCCCTGTGTCACCAGATCATGACGCTCATAGCGGATTATGCGCTCGTGTGACTGCCCACCCCCACCATCCCTCCGCACCCTGTGTTCTCAGCAGCTCTCCCACCCTCCCCACACACCACACATCATGGCAATAGTTGCTCCACTCCACCATCCCTCAACCATCTCCACCGCACTCCACCACTCCTTTCTCCCAACCCCTCTAGATCAGGGCGCTCATAGCGGACTTCATGCTCGTATGGCTGCCCGCCCCCACCATCCGTCTGCACCCTGAGCTCTCAGCCTAGCTACTCCTTGACATTATGACGATCGTTGGTCTACTCCACTCCTTTCCACCGCACATCACCCCTCCCACACACCAGATCATGGCGCTCAGAGCGGATTTCATGCTGGCCTGGCTGACCCGCCCCCACCATCCCTCTGCACCGCACTTGACCACAGTTACCCACATCTCTTCACAGCACTCTACCACTCCCCCCCTCCCACCCCGCCTTTTTCTCCACACCAGACCATGGTAGTGATAGCGGTTTTTGTGTTGGTGTGGCTGCCTGCGCACACCATCCCTCTGCACCCCATGCCCTCCAAAGAGGACACTCCCACTGCTCTCACTCCCACAGAACCAATGTTATCCACCGCTCTGTACCGCACTCCACCGCTCCCCTCTCCCCCTTTCCACGCCAGATCATGGCGCTGATAGCGGACTTCATGCTGGTCTGGCTGCCCGCCCCCACCATCCCTCTGCACCCCGTACTCGCCAAAGAGGCCACTGCACTGCAAAAGTTTCTCGACACCTGCCCGGACAACGCCTTCCAGGTAAGAAACATGTAAAACATGTTTGAGGGCTTATGTTGCGGCCTCATGTTTGTGGCTGATGCATGGACATGCGTTGCTGGTTTAGTTGGGGAACATACCCCAAGCATTGCTGTCTAGTTTTGAGGCGCCTCAAAACTAGACTCCTATCACGCGGATTTTGAGGCGCCTCTAAACATGCCCCAAGCATTGCTGTCTGCCACAACGCAAAGAAGGGACGACTGCCATCGCTGTCATGGCTCTGCCTTGCTCCCATTGCATCCTGCAAGTGAGGAACGGCCTTCCCGCACCCCACCATCGCAGCAGGTCCCTTATTCGTGGCACGGAGTGCACTCTCCTGCAACGCCTCGCTGCTGTGCTCTATGGTCCCTCACGTCCCCTGTCTCGCTCCCATGCCCTGTGCCCTCTCGGTCCCTCCCCGTGTCCTCCTTCCATCCCTCTGCAGGTCCCCATTCGTGGCACGGAGTACACCCTCCTGCAGCGCTTCACTGCTGTTTTGGTGAGTCCGGGGTCTCTCACTGCTGCTGCCAATGATTCACTGCTTTTCTGCTGTGTATCCCAACCTCTTGCCCATCCCACTTGTTGCTAGTCCGCATCCCCACACCTGGCGTGTAGTCGCTTCACTCCAAAAGTCCCATCCACGACTCACCCATCCACCATTCACTCATCCACCCATCCACCCATCCACCATTCACTCATCCACCCATCCACCCATCCACCCATCCACCCATCCACCCATCCACCCATCCACCCATCCACCCATCCACCCATCCACCCATCCACCCATCCACCCATCCACCCATCCACCCATAAACGTGAATCAAAGGTCCCAGTCCTGCCAGCCTGCCATCCCCCTTTTCACTTCTCCCATCTTAGAGCTCCCACCTGATCCCCGCTCGCAACCCAACGCCCTTCCTGGCTTTGCAGCACAAAATGCACTCACCTGCCCCCAACCCCCCCCACAATCCTCCCACGTTTTGTTCCTGTGATTCCAGAGGAACGGAGCAAAGCTCATGGTTGTTGGGACGACTGCATCCCTGGTAAGCTGATCGCCTCCCCCTCTCTCGCCTCCCCCTCTCGCGTCTCTCCCTCTCGCACGCCCCCCTCTCGCACCTCCCCCCATTCTCGCCCCCTCACCCTCTCAACCGTTCAACCATCTGTCCAACCTTGTCGCACCACCCTCTCTCCACCACATCTTCCATCTCTGAGTGCTACTCAAATCTACTCAAAGCTACTCAAAGCTTCATAGGCAAACCACTCCTCCACTCCCTTTGTCTCCCTTCCCCTCTGCTTGCACTCCACTTCACCTGCTCTTCCTGATCCAACCTTACACCACCATCTCTCCCTGCCCGATTGCAGTTTGGCTGTGGCATGACCAACGCTCTCCAATGGGTGCGCAAGGAGCTCGCATCCACCCCCCCTGCTGCTGCTGCAGCCACACTCCCTCCCCTAGAACTTACCTCCGCCCCTTTCCCACTAGACGCTTCTGCTGACCTGGCGGCTGCTTTGAACCCAGCTGCAGCCGTTGATGCTGCCACCACGGCAGCCTTGGTACTAGACCCTTCTGTAGCGGTTGATGTGGCAGCGGCTATGTCGGCGTCGGCTGCTGATGTGGCGGCCGCACTGTCAACAGCCGCTGAGGTGGCAAGCTCGGCGGTGGGGACGATTCCGGCAGAGCTGGAGGTGCCTATCCTCGCCACAAGCCTGGCCTATGGCTCTTATGCCGCGATTTCGGCGAACCTTAGGTGAGTGCTGCTGGAGAGAGAAAGGTTAAGCACTCAAGGGTGTGCTATTGATGCACCAGCGTACTCATGTATGGGTGTCGTGTGTTGTGTGTGAGCGTGCACACTTGAGTGCATGCATCGTGCTTGCACATGCCTGTGCACATGCATTTACTAGTACATGCATTGTGAGCGATGGAACAGGCACGACGATTGCCTCATTTGTTTCTTTGTGCACACAAGTTCGTTCATTGATAGGTTTTTCTATTTCTCAACTGGTTTATTGCTGTGTGTGCAGGTACCAAATATTGGCCGGCGTGATTGAGCAGCAGTGGCTAGAGCCTCGCTTCCATGGCAACAAGACGCTCCTTGCAGTGCTCTCATTCATCTTCCGCACATCCAACACATTTATTGGCTCGCTCTTGTGAGTACTGTTCGCTCCCAGTGCATCAGCATGCTCCCATGCATCTCTAGCAATCATTGTCTAATACTAGTCCTAGCAAATGCTGGTACCTACCATTACCCAATGTCTGACTCATCACCTTGTTACCTTGCAGGTGGGTGGACTATGCGCGATGGATCGGGGTTCAGTGATTGTTATGTACAAAGCAGCCTTCATTTTCCTTTTGGCTCAGTAAATTAGCATTAGTTCGTATTTAGTATCTCACCCAACATTTGCAATAGGCTTGATGGAGAAAGCCAGTACGGTAGGTTAGTATTTATGGCAAAGAACTGTAGTATGTGAAGGGCATCAATCAAGTTGTGTATTGGGAAATAATGTGCTCAGTTCTTGTTGTGAGGAATCTAGTTCTGCACTTGCAAAGTCACGGCATAGAGCTTATATGGTATATAGCGTAAATGAAGCGCGAGACCTGAATCACTAGCGGGACGCACCAAAATGTAGGAGCACTTTTCGCACCCAGAAAGTTGTAATCCTGAGCTTACGCCTTCTGATCGACGTTGTCCAACATGGCTGAAAGCGACTCCTTGCCAGGACAAGGGAAGAAAGTCTGTGTCACTGGAGCATCTGGTAATGTCATGTTTTACAGCGTGTTTCTGGGAATACGAGCGTCGATCAGTGTAGATCATGATAATTTCCGTGGAAAATGACCTCAGGTTTTATTGGAAGCAATCTCGTCAAGCTTCTTCTTGATCGCGGGTATCATGTTCGCGGGACAGTTAGGGACGCAACCGACGAGGCAAAGACATCATGGATTCGCGATCTTGTAAGTCCCTTTATCGGAAGATCTGTCCCGACCAATCCAACGATCGCTATCCACCAAGACTTTATGTTGTCTGTTTGTGGCAGGGAGAGGGGACGCCAGGAACCCTTGAACTTTTTTCTGCCGACCTGAATAAGCCTGGAAGCTTCGATGAAGCTGTTGAAGGATGCGAGTTTGTGTGCCATGTCGCCTCTGTTGTTCGTTTGAGTGTGCCGAATCCGCAATCTGTTGTGGATGCAGCTCTCGAGGGCACGAGAAATGTGTTCGCTTCCATCCTCAAGCACAAAACTGCCAAGTAAGTGAGCATACTGCTTCCTAAAATCTTCACTTTCTCTTACCTTTCGCTTGTCCTCTCTTTCTCTCTCCCCCTCCCCCCTCCCCCTCCCCCGCCTTCTCTCCCTCTCTCACATACACCATCTCTATATCCGTCTCTCTCCCTCTCCCCAATGTTTTAGTCTTTGACGCCATTCATCCTTTTATCTGCAAAACACTTTCCGCCGTTGACTCAGGAAGGTGGTGGTCACCTCATCTGTAGCAGCGATCATTGACTACATAAACAACAAGGATCGGCTATTAACCGAAGACGACTGGAACCGAGACCTAAGTCTTAAAGACCCCTACCCAATGGGCAAGACTCTTGCAGAGAGATATGCCTGGAAGACAGTAGAAGACATGAAAGGCCAAGATTGGTCTTTTGACCTGGTCACCATCTGTCCAGCCATGGTATTTGGTAAAGCCACACGTCGGGCGCATGTCCGAACAAGCCTCAGTGTAAGAACATCTTCTCTGCCTTTTGCTTCATGTCCGAGTCATTGGCAGCACGGCGTTGTTTTCACATTGTCTTAGTTCCACTATTCGCTAAGAGATTTTGTGTTGCATGTGTCGTTCAGGTGATAAAGCAGCTGATGGATGGATGGCTCTTTATGGCCCCTGACTTGCATTTTGGCATTGTGCACGTTGACGACGTTGTGCTTGCTCATGCACTGGCGTTGGAGAAGGATACTGCTAAGGGCCGATATATTTTGTGCAATGGCGACACTATGAGCATGCTAGAAATGGCAGGTAAGGTTGATTGCCCCTCTCTCTACTCTCGTTCCTTGGGTTTCTTCTGTTTGGTTTGTTTCTAGGCATTGTCTGCAAACTAATTTACTGTTTTGTGCTTGTTGAGTGCAGCTGTCATCAAGAAGAAGTACCCCAACGCTAAAACTCCAACATACACCATGCCGAATGCTCTAACATATGTGGTGTCGTTGATGGTTCCTGGGACAAGCATCGAGGTCTTGAAGCGGAATTTAAGCAAGATTCCCAGATTTGACAAGAGCAAGTCGGAGAAGGAGCTCGGGTTGCAGTACCATTCATCCGAAGATTGCATTCTAGATACAGCTGCCAGCATCCTGACCTTGGGAGAAAAGAAATGAGCTGCAGACTCATACACCGGTTACAGCTTCATGCTTCGCCTGAAGAGCGGTAGATCCCTTTTTCATGCCTGTACACGTTGTTGGGCTGAGGAAAAGCCCTTAGGATCTTTCAGAGACTAAATTCAGAACTGAATGAATTTGTTGAGTAGAGAGAGAGTACAGGTGAATATTCTTAAGTGTTGTACCTATCAAATCAAGAATTTAATAATAAGAGAGAGAGAGTACACAAACATATACCTAAATGTTGTACTCTCTAGAAGGTGACCCTATACAGTCTATACAAACATGATAACTACACATGTTTGACACACCCCCTGGACTGCATAGGGGAATGTTCTAGACAAGCAGCTCAGGGTGGCACTACTAGTCCAGCCTCTGAGACAAGGGTCTAAAAGACCAGTCAGAAGGAGTACAGACAAGGCAAGAACGAGTACAGGGCGGCACTACTAGTCCAACCACTGTGAGAGGACACAAGTCCAGTCTGAGTGTATACATATATATATATACGACAGTACAAAGTCAAGGCCCGAGTAAGTGAGAGACTACAGGAACCAGACCAAGCTGTAAACAGTGCCGCTGATGATCTTTAGGCGCAAGCGCCTTCGTAAAGATATCAGCTGTGTTGGCACCGGAGGCCAAGTGTACTACGCGAGCCTGGCGACGCTGCTGTAGCTCGCGCAGGAGGAAGTACCGCAGCTGGATGTGCTTCGCTCTGCCCTCGAGTCGAGGCTCCTGACACAGGAGAATCATGGCCCTGTTGTCAGCGTACAGGACCGGGGCAGAGCTAGGCCGCTCACCTAAGTCAGTGAGCAAGAAGGTCAGCCAGCGGAGCTCCTGTGCCGCCATGGCACCGGCGTAGATCTCAGCCTCACAGCTGGACTGGGCAACAGACGAGGAGCGGGTAGCTCTCCACGAGACAGCACCTGAGCCAAGGCTAAAGCAGTAGCCCTGGGAAGACCTGAGCGTCTCGGCGTCGTCTGCCCAAGAAGCGTCTGTGTGTCCAGTAAGGACCACTGGCCTGCGTCCGCCTAGCACTAACCCCATGCCCGATGTACTTGCAAGATAACGCAAAACCCTCTTAGCGGCAGACCAGTGCTGAGGTCGGTGTCTGCCTGTGGCCACAAAACGAGCCAGGATGCTGAGAGGGTATGCGAGATCTGGGCGAGTGCAAGTCATCAGGTACATGAGGCAACCCACTAGCTCAGCGTAAGGACCACTGGGATCTACCGACTCCTCAGGAACTGGAGCGGAGAGTCTGTGGTCCAGAGGAAGAGGGGTGGGCTGTGCGGAGGAGAACTGAAGGCCGAACCTCTGAAGGACCTGGCGCACCAAGTGTGACTGAGTCAGGGTGATGGTGCGCGCGGCTCTGTCCCTGGAGATCTGCAAGCCAAGGTAACGGCGCAGCTCTCCAAGGTCAGTGCAGGTGTGTCTCTTCAGCAGCTCTGCCTTCACGGAGGCCAGTGCGTCCCTGTCAGCTGTGGCAAAGACCAGGTCGTCTACGTAGACGAGGATGTAGAACGAAGTCGAGCCAGCACGAACGAAGAGCGAGGGGTCTGCAGAGGACGGAAAGAACTGCAGGTCAGCAAGAGTAGCACGCAGCGTGTCGTGCCACTCACGAGGCGCCTGGCGCAGGCCGTAGACTGGGCGCCGCAGAAGCCACTGGGTCCCAGGGGGGAAGGTGCCAGTAAAGCCGCGAGGACGACGCAGGTAGACCTGCTCGTGAAGGCTGCCCTGAAGAAAGGCAGTGGAGAAGTCGAGGGAGTGAAGCTCGTAGTCACGCTGGGCCGCTACGTGTAGCAAAACCCGAAGAGTAGTCATCTTCGGGGTAGGAGCGAAAGTCTGAAAGAAGTCCACCCCCTCGAGCTGACTGAAGCCTCTAGCCACGTAACGCGCCTTGAACACAGGCGGCTCTCCAGGAGGGCGCTTCACCTTGAAGAGCCAACGGCCATCGACCACGTTCACCCCAGGTAGGGGAACTGCGTCGACGAAGGTGCCGGTGGATCTCCAAGATGCCATCTCCTGCTCCATGGCAGCTATCCACTGAGAGGCCCAAGGTCCCGAAACCGCCTCAGCGTAAGTACGAGGGGTCGGGATGTCAAAAGCGTCTGGGTCACCCTCAGGGACTAGCAGCATGGAACAGAGATGGGGAGCAGCCTCGGACAGGAAAGCAAGCTCAAACTGGCGGTCCTCCAGGACGTCACTGCCGAGGGCAGGAGCACCCCCGACAGACGGAGGACAGGCACGGTCAGAGACCAGAGCGGAGGCGTAGTCAAGGCGGCGGGTAGAGGCGAAGTCAGCGACCGCAGCGACAAGGGCGTCAAGACTCGACACTGGAACAGACGGGTCGGTAACGAGAGAGGCAAGGACCCGAGGAACAAGAGGACGAGCGGCACGAAAGTAGTCAGACAGAGGAGGAGACGCAACGACAAGAGAGGACGGAGGAGGAGACGGGAGGAGGGGAGGACGAGACGCGTGGGAGCGGAGCAACATAGGGTGAGTGCGCGGGACGGGGGAGACAGGACGAGCACGGGAGGGGCGGCGAGACCAGACGTGAGAGGGCGGCGTCGGGTCAGGAGACAGAGGAGGGGACACGGGTGGGGAACGAGGGGGAAAACGAGCCGGGGACGAGTCCGGCGGAGGGAACACGGGGCTGTAGACGGGAAGAGGGGGAGACGGCCGGAGAGGAACAGGCGCAGGGTCAAGGGACGGAAGGCCGAGCAGACGGAGGGCGGACACCGGCGGGGACTGCTGCTGCGGCGACACAACACCAACGCCAGGGCCACAAGCTGCGCGTCGGCTACCTCCCGAACCCTCCACACCGGCACCCCCAGAAGGGACACCCCCAGAGCCCGAAACACCGCCAGCACCGGTACCACCCCCAGGCCCGCCGGGACAAGCCCCGACAGGAGCCCAGGGACTAGTACCCACCTCAACGCCAGCACCCCCAGAGTCCACAAACAGCGGCAGCGACGACGGCGGCGGCGGCGGCGGCGGCTGCAGCGACGGCATCGACGGCGGCGGCGGCGGAGACGACGGCTGCAGCAGCTGCGGCGACGGCGGCTGCGGAGGCGGTGGAGGAGGAGACACCGGGGGAGGGACAGACGGCGAGGACTGCGCCAAAGGACTACCAGAGGCAGAAGACTCGTCGACCGGAACGACCGACGGGAGGGGGGTGACGTGAGACACACCAGAGGGGGCCGGACGGGGGGGCGGGGGGGGGGAGGGGCAGGGGCCACCAGGGAGGGAGGAACCAGGAACAGGGGGGGAGTAACCGGGGGACCACGGTGGGGAAAGCGGCGGTAGAAGGAGACGGACTCGTCAAAGGTGACGTCGCGAGAGTGAAAGAAACGGTGAGACGGCGGGTGGTAGAAGTGCCAGTCGGACGCGTCAAGGGGGAAACCAAGGAAGACGCAGGGGAGGGTGCGGGCAGTGAGCTTGTCCGTGCCAGAGGCACGAACGTGAGCAAGGCAGCCCCAGACGTGGAACGCAGACGCGTCACCAGGGGACCCGGTCCACAGAAGGGTCGGCGAAACCTGCGGCCGCTGGGGGTGCGGCCACAGGTTAAGCTGGTGAGCGGCGTAGCGCACGGCGAATGGCCACAGAAAATGGGGTGCACCGGCGTGGATCATGGAGGTGCGAGCCACCTCCATGACCAAACCGATGCGTCGCTCAGCGACCCCATTCTGCTGCGGGGAGTCCGGCAGGGTAAACGTCTGGGTGATGCCCTCCGCACGACAGAAGCGACCAAGGACACCTGAGGCGAACTCGCCACCCCGGTCGGAGTGGAGGCGCAAGGCAGGGAGACCGCGGTGGAGACGAGCAGAGACAAGCCAGGGGATGAGAACGTCAGGCACGTCGGCCTTCCGCTCCAGGGGAAAGACGGTGGTGTAACGTGTGAAGTCGTCGACAAGCACTAGGAAGAAGCGCTCGCGACGCGGCCCATGGACCGGGGCTGGGCCCCAGACGTCCATGTGCAGAGTCTGCAGGGGTGCGGTGGTAGGGGGATTTTTTTTTTTTTTTTTTTTTTTTTTTAATCAAATCTAGAATTTAATAATAAGAGAGAGAGAGTACACAAACATATACCTAAATGTTGTACTCTCTAGAAGGTGACCCTATACAGTCTATACAAACATGATAACATAGGAAAGCAGTTGTGGAATACAGTTGAAAGAACGGTTATCGAGTCGCACAGCGACTCGATGATCGGTTCGGTTACCACCCTTGCAGTTGTAACGGTCAGTCGCAACCGGAGGTTGCGACCAGGCCCCCAGAAGTCAGGAAATTTTTCCTGATTCAGGAAAAAAACAGGGAGTTTCTAGGTACTTACCCTGATTGTGCAGGGTTTTGTAAATGACACACCCTGTTTTTTCAAGCCTTTTCGAAGGGTAAACTCTGATCGCTCAGCAAGGTTTCTTAGCGAACCCTGAATTTCTCTGCATTGTAGCGGGTCTTAGTCCTTTCCAAAAGCGTGTCTAGGGGGGGCAGTCAAGAATTTCGAGGTTGTCCTCCCCCCCTTCCCCCACCCCCTGAGGCTGTTTGAGGGCGCTGATTGGCCCTTGGTCAAAAAAATCTCCGTGCTGTATGTTGGAGGTCATGTGAGGGAGGTGTGATGAGGACTGTGTGAGGGCAATTGTTGGCCCTTGGCCGAATTTGCTTGATGTGCGCCTGCCCTAGGGCTCTGCGAGGGAAGAGATTCCTTCCGCCCCTGCAATCTCGTCGCATCCCCCCCTATTCAGCCCTTCCCCCCTCTCCCCCCCACCAATTGTCGTTTCCTGCCCATCCCCCTATCTCGCCACACACGCGCGAATTCGCTACGAATTCCCAGCACCCCCAAAAACCAAGACTTGAACACACAAAATTCATGAACTAAAACATGTATAGAAAGATTGAAAAATCAGTATTTTTTTTTAAGTAATTCTGATGGCTCAGGATTTTGTTTTAGGGGACCCTGAAAATTCAGACTTTTCTGCAGGGAGAATCCTGATGGATCAGGAAGCCTCAAAACCAATCTAGGGCCCTGGTTGCGACCCTTGGAGTCTTTCGTCCTTTCATGTTCTTTCGTCCAACCTCCTCGTGTAACCTCCGTTGACTCGCGTACCCGATACGGCTTTACTCGAGTGTAGTGTCACACTTCTGAAACGCTTAAGTCCTTGAGGTATTTCCAACACTCCCCTTCGTTTCTGGAGTGC